GTCAATGTTAACTCTTGTTTGAGTAAAAAAAACAATGACTTTTGTGTGAAAAACTTAGAAGCATGCATATATATTACATGAATAGCTATGTGTTTTATGCACATTTTGTAAGGTTCATACCGTGCACACATGATACATAGATATGCATGTGACTAACACTTTGCTTTTGTATTGCAATATTTGGTAAAGATATTTAGGTTTTATTAATGCTCCTCACATTCACATATAAAAACCAATGACATTATATTATTATTGAAAGCACCGCCAAATTATGTAAAGGCTACTAACATCCTGATTAGCACATAGCTTTTTCTTTTTCTTAACATTCTGTATATTTCAATAATCTACCATCATATTCACCAAATGTGACAATTAAATTTTCGATATGCCAAATACAATGAATGGACGATTAAATTGCAGTACAACAGATAGAAACACAATTGGACATAATTTTGTTATAAAAATAAAAAATAAAATAAAATAATGCATCAAAGATAAAACTTATAGTCTCATAATGTGAATATGGAGGGAAAGTAGAGCAGACTGAACTCCTCTATGATTGTTAAAGGGCGTTTGAAATTAATGGCGAATTTGAACAGAAGAAATAACGAAATCCACCAACACGACTATAACCTTTGAAATTAGAAGGTGTATCAGTTATATGATGTCCAAATAAAAACATCCATGCCCAGACTGATAAACTATTCATACCAAAAGGGTTATATCCGTTGATAAGTTGTAAAGAGTTTAACCATAAATAATCTCTTAGCTAGCCCATCAAATAAGTGAAAGATTCATTAAACTGCGAAACGTTACCCTGCCATAATGTGATGTGCTTCCAATGCCAATAAAAAGTAACCCATCCTATAGTATTTAACATCCAAAAAACTGCCAAGCCGGAGAGGGTCACCTGGTCGTCGTTGAGCAGCGCTACCACCGATTTTTCGGAAAATAAAGTTTCAGGTACACACTCACAAGATTCAGGCGTAGGCAGCACCGAAGGAAAATACGATCCGATGGCATCAGAATCGTTGCGGACGATTTCTCCCTTCGACATCCTCGCTAGCGGTGCGGCGGTGAGTATCCGGCGACCATCTGAAAGAGGCGTGGTAGAGAAAGAATCCATCGCGAATAAATTTAGGGTTTGAGTAGGAGAAACCGATGACTGAAATTGGAATGAAATTACTGGGTTTGTTTATTTTATTTTATTATCTTATTTTATTGTTTTATTTATTTAATTAATTGCTGCGTGTTTAATTTTTTTTAATGGTTTTTGTTAAGTATATTTATATTTGATAAATTTTATTAAAAAATGAAATGTGTCAATTGTGGTGGGACAAGCAAAAAAGGAAAATGTGTCAATTGTGGTGGGACGGATGAAGTATTACACAAATATCATTACCTTTATATCATATAATACTAATAGGGTTAATTTAGTCTTTTTTATCTTTATTTTTATTTTATCCTAATATAATATTAATATTTTTAAAACTCTGTAGAAAAAATAAATAGATATATAAATATGCGACGGAAAAAATATTATTATTATTTTTTTATGACGTGATTTTTAATTGATTAAAATGTTAGCATAAATTTTAGTAGTTGATATAGATAATTATTATTCTGTACGGACAGTTCTATATGCCGACAACTCAGCACACATCAATAATTAAATATCAATTTAGAAATGATTATCAATTATTGTATATATATATACATTAATGGGAGGGAGGGTTCCTTTTGTGATTCAGTTTTTAATTTATTTTTTTTAATAAATGGTTTGATATTATTTTTATGAAAGTATAAAAGCTTGATATATTTTTTTTTGTTGTTATTTTTAGAATTTTAAATATAAAATATTTTCGTACTATTAAGAACATTTGTTCCAGTCACTTTTTTTTTTACTTTTGTCATTATTTTTTTAATTTTTACTATAATAAAATTTATTACTTCTCTAATAAAAAATACAGTTATTACAATTATTATTTTTTATCAAGAACTTATTAAAAAAATAAAAACAAATTAAGAACTATTTTTTTTTTTAATTTCAAAATTTTAAATTTTAAATTTAACATAAATTATTTATAAATAAATCAAATAGCTAATGAAAATACTAATCTTTTCAATCAGTGCTTAAATTAAATTAAATGATTACGCACGATTTGACAATAAAGATAATAACTCTTAAATTATATTGTTAATATATTTATTTTATAAGTTTAAATTATATTACGATTCTTTTTTTATTATTTTTAATTAATATATGTTGATTTATTTCAAATAATTTTAATTATTAAAATTTATATAGATTGATATTTTAAAAATTAAAATATATTATTATATAAAAATATTATTAAATAATAAAAATATATAGAAATATCTATAAATAAATAAATTATTTATATATATTATTACATAATAAAAATATATAAAATTAAATAAATTATTGTGAATTTATAAAATAGTAAAGATAATATGTTATAAGTGATTTACTATAAAGAGTGATAAATAAAATAATTTGAATATTGAAATAAATATTATATGGATGAGAGGATAAAAGAGATAATATGATAAAAATATTCGTTATATATTATAAATATTTTTAAAATTTATATGTATACTTTGTGAGTATATTGAAATAATATGATTTAGCACTCCAATAAATCCCATGAATTCTAAAATTGTATGTAACAGATTTTTTTTTTAAAAAAAAAAATGGAAATAAAAAATTAAATATTACAAAATTAGTAAAGAAAAAAAATTAAACAAAGTCATATGTCTGTTTGGTTTACAAGTTGGACTGAAGATGGGCACCATGCCTTCAAATTTTATTATTTTTTATTCAATTTTTTTTTTTAATTTCCATTAATATATATTAAATCATATTGAATAAACTTTTTCTATAAATAAATAAATATACAAAACAATCATTGAAGATTTGAAATTGAATTATTTAGCATTTTAGAAATAAGGAATGAAATGAAATGATCCCACTTGGGGCTGCTTTCTTTTTATTAATTATGAATGTCTTTCTTTTTATTTATTACTGTTTCAATAATATATTAAATATATATTACAAAATATTATATTAGATATATTTAAATTCAATTAAAAACAAAAACAAAAACAACACCACTGTATAGTATTGCTTTTTTTTTTTTTTTTTTTCAATTATAATCTACCAAAATAAATAAGTCGGGACGGTGGAATTCGAACTCGAAATCTAGAGATACCATATCAAATGCGCATAATGATCGTTTTACCTAAAAATTTAAATAATTAAAAAAAATACGTAATTAATATATTTATCCGCAAATGAAAATCTCAACAACTGTCCTCAACAAAACACACATCTCAAGAATATATATATATTTATTTATATTATACTATTGAAAATATATATTTAAATGAATAATAAAAAAAAAAAAAAGGCAGGGGAAAAAAAAAACATAATGGGAAATAAAGAACATTATCTAGCTGAAAAATGAAAGAAATGAAAATGGCTTCCGGTAATAAAGTAACCACAGATGTCCACCCAACATTGATCTATTAATAAAGAACCAAGGCAATGATAGTTTATTTTCATTGTAGTATTTATTTTTAAAATAATAAAAATGTAAGTAGAAACATTTTATTCAATATTTTAAATAAAATTGATATTATTAAAATATCTTAAATTAAATCTTTTTTTTTTTATTTTTTTACCATAATTAAATTTAAATTTGGTAAGGAGGAAATCGTGATTTTAAGGTCATGAGTTTAGACATCTGCTGCTTCTAAATCTTGCCTATCACATATCCCTTTTGAACTTAATTTATACACTATTAAGTTTGACGACAGATTCTTAGGTTATTATAAAAAATAATATCAATAGGTTATAAAAACATACAAAAAATATACCTTTAATTACAACACTAAACAAACAAACTCATAAATAATACTGTGACACTCCAGCTCGCAAGCCATGCAAAGTCGAGCGTGTCGGGATTGCAAACTGACTCAACATGTCAACACTAGTCCTTTCAGCGTTCTTATGTCCTTAATGCGCATTACGCTTAACTCTGAAGTTTTTTCCGTAGGGTTTTCGAAAAAAAATGTGCACATTATTGACATGAGTAGTTTTCAATCAATTTAACCTCTTATTCAGCCTCGGGGGTATTTCATCATCTCGACTCATATCGCTATTCAACTCCGGAGTATTACAAATACTCCCTCCGCCAAATGTAATATGAGTTTATTAAGGTAGATACAAAAATTTACATAAAGTATAATTAATAAATAATTAAAAAGTATATTAGTAAAAATAATTATTTTACAAAATAATTATACATTAAATTAAGATAACTAAATAGTTTAATTAAAATTATAAAATACTCCCTACATCCCGGTTAATTTATCCCATTTATATTAGACAAAGATTTTAGGTATGGTATAATTAATGAGTAATTAAAAAGTGTATTAGTAAAAATAATTATAATTTAATAACAATAATTTGAGATTAAAATTAAAATGACTAAATAGTTTAATTAAAATAAAATTTTTTATAAATTATGAATTTTAAAATGCGATTAAAAGTGTATAATTGTATTTCTAAAAGAAATGACAAATTACGTTGACACGAACGGAAATAGAAATAATTGACAAATTAAGTGGACGAAAAAAATATAAAATTTAAAATGAGTTAAAAGTGTATAATTATATTTTTAAATAAATCATGTGAGACGAAGAAAATAAAAAATAAAAACAAATTAGGTTAAACTGAAAGAGTAATAAATTCGTCTTAAAAAAACCCAAACAAACACAACCTCTTAATTCTTCCTATAATTGGCGAATTAATTACCTAAGAAAGCATGAGTCCGCTCACCATTGACCATAAGTTGAGGGAATCTTTTATTAATTATTTTATTTTTAATTTCTAAATTCTAGAAATCCGACGATAGTCTCTTCATTATTACACCACAAATTACTGTCAAAATTCGATGGGATACTTCTGGATTATTGCCCAACAGACACACTTCGTAATCAGAGCCCTTTAAATTTACGAAAATGGTCGCTTTCCTCCTGTCCTCTCCCCATCCCCATCCCCAACCCTTCTTCTTCTTCCTCACTCCTTCTCCAATCTCAATCGCCGCCTAATTGCTCGAATCGAAGAAGACGAGGAAGAAAGAAGTTCGGTCGCCTTATTGCAGTGGAAGAATTCAAAATTGGGGTTTCGATAATTCTGAGGTGTATTTCAACTGAAGGAAGGAAGTGTTAATGGTTAGTCAGTGTGGGTCTGATGAGGAAGGAGATGATGTGTGTGTAATCTTTTGAGGTTGTCGTTTTCTTTCGATTTTTCGAGCGTCTCGCTGTCGTTGTTTCGGTGAATGCCTGCTTTCTCTATTCATCGATTTTCACTATCAGTTTCGACGGTGGTTGTTGATTTCTTCAGGAACCTTTTTTTGTTTATTTTTTAATTTTTGATTAAAGGTAAGCAATCTCACTCGCTTTCCAGATCTTCCTACTTCTGTGCCTCTTCTTACATTTATGCTTTCGGTTTTCATTGTTGTTGTCTAGGTAAAAGGTTGTAAGCATGTATCTATCTGTGTAAGTGGTAGTGAGATCTGTTTTTGGTGTGTGTGTTGATTGTTGATACAACGTTTGTTTCGATTGAATACCAGGCTGGTTCGAAGGGTTTAAGATTGTTTGGAGAAATCGATAGATTGGATACTGCAAGGCTGGTTCGAGAAAATTAAGTTTGTTTGGACAGATAGATTGACAGACATAGAGACGATGAACGGCGCGGCCTTGGTGGCCATTGCCGCCACGATCGGAAACTTTTTGCAGGGCTGGGATAATGCAACTATTGCAGGTTATTTCTCCCCTCTTTAATCTAATGCTTATTATCCATTTTTCTGTTCAAATTCGTGTGTCCTTATCCATGAGTTTTGATTTGGTTGCTTGAATGTTAGATATCTAAGTGTGTAATGAAATTTTGTAGATTAGGAGCTTGTTCTTACATATATGCCCGTTGAGTTTTGATTAATTTCTCGAATGTTAGATCATTCGAAGAATTGAGTTGTGCTCTGCTTGGGAGTATGTAAGGAAATGTTGTAAATTAGGTTCTTGTTTGTACATATATTCCCGTTGAATATTCCGATTTCTTGATGTTAGATAATTCGAAGAATTGACTCGCCCTCTGCTTGGGAGTATGTAAGGAAATATTGTAGATTAGTCTCTTGTTCTTACATATATGCCCGTTGAGTTCCGATTCGATTTCTTGAACTGTTAGATCATTCGAAGAATTTATTCGCGCTCTGCTTGGGAGTATGTGAGGAAATGTTGTAGATTATGCTCTAGTTATTACATATATGCCCGTTGAGTTTCGATTCGATTTCTTGAATGTTAGATCATTCAAAGAATTGAGTCGAGCTCTGCTCAGGAGTATGTTAGGAAATGTGGTAAATTAGGTTCTTATTTTGAACATGTATTCCGTCGAGTATTACGATCTCTTGGCTGTTAGATCATTTGAAGAAGTGATTCGGGAGTATGTAAGAAAATGTAATTAGGTTATCCAATAGTCATCTAAATGCGTTTCGTCGTGTAACAGGAGCCGTTGTTTACATAAAAAAGGAGCTCGAGTTGGGGGCCGCCATAGAAGGGCTAATCGTGGCCATGTCGCTGATCGGCGCGACGGTAATCACCACTTGCTCGGGTTCGATTTCCGACTGGGTCGGTCGTCGCCCGATGCTCATTCTATCATCCTTGTTTTATTTCGTCAGCGGCTTGATAATGCTGTGGTCTCCCAACGTTTACGTCTTACTCCTTGCGAGACTATTCGACGGGTTTGGCGTCGGTCTCGCGGTAACCCTAATCCCTCTATACATTTCCGAGACCGCCCCGCCGGAAATCCGGGGCCTTCTGAATACGCTCCCGCAGTTCATGGGCTCGGCCGGGATGTTCTTGTCCTATTGCATGATCTTTGTCATGTCCCTACAGCCCGCGCCAAGCTGGCGGCTGATGCTCGGAGTTCTCTCCGTCCCGTCTCTTGTCTACTCCGCCCTAACAGTTTTGTATTTGCCCGAATCGCCTCGATGGTTGGTTAGCAAAGGGAAGATGGTCGAGGCGAAAAAGGTTCTCCAACGGCTCCGCGGACGGGACGACGTTTCGGGTAGAATTCGACCCGAATTTTTATCGAGCAGTGGAACGGGTTGTTCTTGATTCTATATTTCTTTTTTTTATCTGCAGGGGAGATGGCATTGCTCGTCGAGGGTCTAGCGATCGGCGGCGAAGCTTCGATAGAGGAGTTCATCATCGGCCCGGGAGAGGAAGTTGATAAGGATCGAGAGACGTACGCCGATAAGGACCGTTTTAAATTGTATGGTGCCGAGGAGGGTCTTTCGTGGGTGGCGAAACCCGTAACGGGGCAGAGTCGACTCAGCCTCGTTTCTCGGCACGGTAGTATGGCGAACCAGAGCTCGCCGCTTATCGACCCGCTGGTGACGCTCTTTGGCAGTGTCCACGAGAAGGTTCCGGAGACGGGGAGCATGCGGAGCATGCTGTTCCCGAATTTTGGGAGCATGTTCAGTGCCGTCGATCCGCAAATCAAGAACGAGGAGTGGGACGAAGAGAGCCTGCAGAGGGATGGCGACGATTACGCATCGGACGTGAACTCCGACGACAATTTACACAGCCCGTTGATTTCGCGACAAACGACGAGCCTCGAGAAGGACTTGCCGGCGGCGCCGACGTCGCACGGGAGCATTCTGAGTGGCATGAGACGGCGGAGCAGCCTTATGCAAGGCGACGGAACGGGAATCGGTGGCGGATGGCAGCTGGCGTGGCGGTGGTCGGAGAAGGAAGGCGACGACGGGAAGAAAGAGGGAGGGTTCAAGAAGGTTTTCCTTCACCAGGAGGCGGTGGCGGTGGCGGGATCGAGACGCGGCTCTCTCGTCTCAATCCAGGACAGCGGCGTCGACGTTCCCGTCGACAGCGAGTTCGTCCATGCCTCGGCTATCGTAAGCCAGTCGGCCCTTTTCCCGAAGGCGCTCGTCGATCGACATCCTATCGGGCCGGCGATGGTTCATCCAGCACACGAGGCGTCGAAAGGGCCGAGCTTTGCGGCTCTTCTTGAACCGGGAGTTAAACGAGCGTTGGTCGTCGGAGTTGGGATTCAGATACTCCAGCAGGTAGTAGAATTTAATCGAAAATGTCGAACGGATCGATCAATCTTATGTACGGTTATTCGTCGTTGTTGTCGTTTTCGTGCAGTTTTCGGGGATCAATGGAGTTTTGTACTACACTCCCCAAATTCTTCAGCAGGCTGGGGTGAGTGTTCTTCTTTCGAACCTCGGACTCGGGTCGGATTCAGCGTCGTTTCTCATCAGCGCGTTCACGAATTTGTTGATGCTGCCGAGCATCGCCGTCGCGATGAGGTTTATGGACATTGCTGGGAGACGGTAATTTCCCGTCCTTCGACTGATCGTAGATTTGAAGATGATTGAAACTGTCGGAAAAATCGAAATTTGTTTCAGGTCGCTGCTGCTGACGACGATCCCGATTCTGATAGTGTCCCTGGTGATTCTGGTGATCGGGAATGTGTTCGATTTGGGGTCGGTGGCGCACGCGGTGATCTCGACGATCTGCGTGGTCGTGTACTTCTGCACGTTCGTGATGGGGTACGGGCCGATCCCGAACATCCTGTGCTCGGAGATATTTCCGACGAGGGTGCGGGGGATGTGCATTGCGATATGCGCGCTCGTGTTTTGGATCGGGGACGTGATCGTGACGTACACGTTGCCGGTGATGCTGGGCTCGATGGGGCTGGCCGGAGTGTTCGGGATTTACGCGGTGGTTTGTGCAGTGTCGTGGGTGTTCATATTTGCGAGGGTGCCGGAGACGAAGGGGATGCCGTTGGAGGTGATAACGGAGTTCTTCGCCGCCGTCGGGGCGCAGCGGGGGAGGCACGAGTAGAGCACGTGACAAGGGGGGATGGTTTATATTTACGTTGTGTTTTGCGACGAGGACGGCGTCGTTTTGAAGTAGAGTTGTTTGTAGGAACTTATATTTGGGTAGGACAATGCATGTGGAAGGAATTGAACTTTATTAAATGGTTGTGTGTTTGTTTTTGTCGACATTTTGCTGAAATTGATTGTCACGTTATAAAATAGCTGCTACAGTGTTGAATTTTAATACTGAATAATTCACAATATACTAACAAATAACAAAATAAATTATGATTATACTTAAAATTCTCATTGAACTAGAAAAGTAATCGACTGTAAATAAAACGAATATATTGGATCAAATAGTCCATCCCCATTTCGAACAAAAACACATATGAGAAGAGATGTAAACAAAACATATAAACAATCTATGAAACGACTGAATGCTATTTACATTACACTTACCTCTAGTTTTGGCACTTTTTCGATCGACTCGAGCTTTTTCCGGGCTTCGATCACGACCATATCGCACAAAAAAACTCAAGGGGTTTGGATCTCCTCCGATGGCGGATTACTCGTGTGATCAGAAACGGGAGGATTAGGACCGGGTTTAGGATTAGGCGAATTATGGTCTAATTCACTTTCGGGTTTCATATGTGGCTTCAGAGGCCTCTCGAAGTCTCGGGCAGCAGCAGGATCTATTACAAGTTTTCCAAGTTTTTGCTCCTGCAATAAAGTCGATATCAAGACGAACCAGATAAACATCAGATGGTAGCTAAGGTATAGAATTAGAAAAGTTTACATTTTGAAGTGCTTCGAGCTTTCTCTGAAGAGCTTCGTGCTCGGCCTTGATCCGGAACGGTACGCCGTGTTTCTGGTACACGTTGTTTTGGGCCAAGTCTTCGTCGATATCGCTGGAAGTCGTCGCAAAAGGGTGATTTGCAGGAATCCAGCGGATGGTGTCGGGGTCGACGTCGGGAGGTATGGGTTCACCTTCCTTGAGGAATACTTTCGGCCTCTTCCATTGATAGGCGCGGGATCTTCGTTTCTGATGTGAGGTTTTTAGCTCGTCGGTAAGCGCCACTGGCGCCAGGCGATAAACTTTTCCACACATCTCGACGGTTGAGTTGGTCTTGCTCATCTTTACCATCGGGTTGTTGAAAGGGTCTTCGTATTTGAGAGGGGCAGAGCTAAGAAAAAGGAAAAAAGATAAATTATAGATACAATGTGGATGTAATAAGTGAAATAATCTCGACCACGGTAGTGAAGGAAAGTAGAATCGTACATGCCTCTTCTATCCGATCTAATCTGTCCACGGCGCACAAGATCAGCTACAGAACCCTGGTAGTTATAATTGGATTTCCTCGCATTGTGTCTTTTAATCACTAAAACGACAATTGTCGCTACAATGCAGAATCCAATCGTAATGTTAATTCGAGAAAGCTCCCCAATCTGAGCAAGAAATGAAAACAAAAACTATGAGTACATTGAATGTCATGCGAGCAATCCCTCGAATATGTGAAAGAAAGCAAATTCAAAACTGAATGGTAAGGGGGAATTATTTTTAAAAAATTGTGCTAGTTTCATGTGATGAATGTATCGACAAATTGGCACCGGAATTCCTCAATATTGCATCGATTAAACACCATCTAACCGACTTAAACCTAAAAACAGTAAAACAGTATCACATCGTTCTTTTCAAGTAAAACCATACAAAGAAATTCGTGACGCGGTTGAAGAAATATGAGGCTGTTGCGACGAACAAATGCATTGCATGTGTTTAAAACGAACGAGGCAGTTAAGTTATGAACATCAAATCTGTCGTTGAAAGACCGCACTTTGTGTTAAACTCATGAAATTTCCAGTCTGCATAATAATTGCATGCAAAACCCTAAGCCCACAGCCTAAACTCGGATCTACGACAAACAAATGTAAATGTTTCAGAACGTTCTGCATACATCATTACTCAGTGCTATAAAATATCATCACAGAATTTTGTCAATAATTTCAACATCTCTAACTTATTCTTATAAGATTGTTTATCCTTGAACTAAAATTCAAACACAATCAGCTTTTGTAACGAATTTGTTCCTGGTTTTCAATTCAACAGGTAAAGCAGATTCATAACCTTGTTAAATTATGAAATCTATACGCATATACACTCATAATTTCAGTTTCTTAAGGTTTATTCCAAATTTCAACATAATAAAGTACCATCGTAAAAAGGAAATCAGACAGGATATTACCGATGAGGCAAATGCAGGGAGGGAGCCAATCGATTCATGAAATTTAGCAACTAACTTCCGCGTGGCGTTTTCCGATTTCCCACTCACAACGGCGTCGTTTTGGAAGCGTTTGCCATCGTCAGAACCTACTGCTTTCACCACAACCTTTCTGCACACAATTCTTCGGTTCCAATTCCAGCAATTCAAAAAAATTCCTGAATCCGACCTAAGCTGAGCTTCGTCCGACGAATTTCATCAGAAAACCAAAGAACTATTATTCATCGAAATTAAAATAAATAACAAAATGAAAAAGTAGCTCACTTACATTGACAATTGGCGCAGAATGAAGGCGCACAGTCCAAATTGACGCCATTTTTAGGTCTATTACAGGTATAGCTGGAGCGGCAACTGAGAAATCATTCTGGTTAAAATTAGGGCAAAATTCTTCCGAAATTGGGGGAGGAATACCGACTGGTCCGGGAAGAAATCACTGAATGAGATCTTTCGCAATATGAAATGGGCCTATTGGGCCCAATATTGATATACTATTGGGCCAAGTTAAATTGTCTTCTGGCCTAATTATACTAAAACCCATTTCACTATGGGTTGAGTTAGATGTGTGTTATTATTTTTTTTATTTTTTTGTTTTTTTGTTTGTTGTCATCCAAATTTATTCTTCTTGTAAAAATTTTTATTTTTACATGTTTTTCTTAAAATTTGTGACCGGTCAAATAAGCACACAATTGAATGACGAAGAGAGTAATATGAATATGGTATTTTGTAAATAAATTTATTTCTTAACTTATTCATATTTTCATTTTTATCTGTCGAATCGAATATATATATATATATCTTTTTAGTAATTGTAAACTTTACCATTAATTATAAATATCTTTACTTTCATATTTATTTACATTATACAATAATTTTTTTTAATAAAATACAATAAATATTATCAACTACTATGTAAATATTAAAAGAAACCCATCCCATATTTTCTTTTAAATTTATACGTTAGATATGAAAATTGAATAATGTGTATGGTTTGAGATTTTATTATTTATTTATTTATTTATTTTATGACAGTAGGAACTTAAAGTCACTGTTTTTTAGTGAACTTTTGGTAAATTTTTTAATGAATTTAATAGTTTCCAAATTAAGTCTAACAAAACAAATCATATCGAGACAACATAATTTATTTTTTATTTTAAGAACAAAAGAGTTTGTTCATCCAACCAAATATTTTTCTAACATGATTTTCAATATATATTATATTCTCTCACAAAATTTAATAATTTAATACAAAATATTATTTTTTATATTATTATTTGTCATACATGATAAAAAAAAAATATATTTCACATTAAAACACTAAACAAACAAATCCAATAATCAGGGGCGGATGTATGTGGGGGCAAACCCCACTCCCTTATAATTTTTAATTTTTTGTTTTTATTTTATAATATGTAATATAAAAAATAATAAATAAATTAAAAAATTGTAAAAAATTGATAGAATATTTATGTGAAAATTTAAATTTTGAATAATAAAAAAAATTATATCATAATAATTTGTTGATAATATAAAAATAGATATGAACAAAAAAGTAATAAATAATAATTAAAAAAAATCTTCAAAAATTTCTTAACCAAATACACAGAAAATGATATTTTTAACGTCTTTTTTTTAATAAATGTTTTTATTATTTATCAATTTCATATAATACAAAATTCATCTTGTAATATGCAATTGTCAATGTAGATTGATATTTTGCAAGATTTTTGAAATATGATAACTCCATTGATAAAATTATTGGATAACAAATAGACGATGATCGTTTCAAAATTTTAAAAATTAGCCCCCCCTTTCATCATGGTCTGATTCCGCCTCTGCCAATAACAATAATAATAATAATAATAATAATAATAATAATAATAATAATAATAATAATAATTTGCTAAATAAACCTACCCTATATTTTCATTTATGTTCTTTAAAATTATCATCTGACTATATTTTTCAATATGGTTTATCTCTTTAATATAAATTCATGGTTGCAATTAGCATAATGAATTAATATATTCACTATAATTAACAACACTTTAAATATAGTTAAATAACACATAACAAATAGGCAATTAACATATAAATTATATTAATATAATATAAATATAACACTACCTCCGTCCACAACCGATCTATCTATTTGTATTTGACGTCATTATTTTTAACATTAAAAATATCCTTATATTTGTATAATTTTTTGTACAAATTTTATTTTATTAGTATTATAAAACACCAATAAAATTATTTTTGTCGTTTTTCCTTAATTTGTAATATATTTTAATATAATAATTAATATTTAAAAATTAACACGTAAAAAGTAAATAAATAAATTGACCGGTCTACGGAAGTAGTATATAAATTGACAATAACTCACACTAACATATATTATATGATAGTGTAGTATAACCCCAAACAATCAACAAACGATGTAATATTTTTTTTTGTAAAAATAATTTATGTTAATCATATATATATATATGTATATATCTATTTTTCACAAAATATTATATATATATATTATTATACTATAATTATTAAAATTTCTGTAAAATCTCCAAAATGGATAAACTGAAAATGTTTCAAGTATATGATTTAAATATATTTTTAATTGAATACAATATTTTATTTTTTTTGTCTCGGGTAAAAGTATATATTTATTTTTGACACAAAATTGAAGAAATAAAAATATTTTAATTACAGTAGAAAATTGAAAATAATGTAAAGATAGTTTTGTCTTTATCTTTTTAGTGTAAAAGTAATGATAAATATATAAAATATATATATAAATATTTTATTGAATATTGAAAAAAAAAAATACATGTTGGTATGGAACATATAAAAATAACAAAAATATATATATATATTTCTGGCAATAACATCTAATTTCTCTCAAGAGAAAAAAAATAATAATAATTTTTTTTTAAAAAAAAAAGAAAAACATCCAAATTAAGAAATAGATAAATTAATATTATGGTGTAAGAATCGAATAATGTCAGTATTTCTTTATCATAAGTGGTAATAATAAATTAAATTATCCTTCCTTGCACTATATTATTATAGTATTGCATTAAATTAAATTAAATTAAATTGATGGTTATTTCTGTTTGTGGTCTGTCAACTATTTATTTGTCGCTATTGAAAAAATATTTTGAAAATCCACTGTGAAGGCTACCCTCGAACCATTTTTTTTTCCTCATAATTAATACTCTGTACGTCCTATTTTTTCGTTTTAAATAATTATTGTCCTATTTTTTTTTATAAGCATAAATTTTACCTTTTTATCATTTATTTATTTATTATTTTTAATTTTTATTTTATCATAAAGGATAAATTTATCAATTCATACCGAACAATAGAATAAAATATATATTTATTTAACACAAATATTGTATTAACTAAAAACATATAAATGTGTTGTATCAATTTTATTTTTGTGTCAAAATCAATTGTATCGTTTATTGTTTATTTTTTCCATGTTGATTTTTTAATATTAATTATTATATAAAAATATAGTACAAATTAAAAATATATATATATATTTTTCTATTAGTGTCTTGTAATACTAATACAATGACATTTTTACAGAAAAATTATGTTTCAAAATTTTGAAAAGTTTGGTGAATAATTAAAAATAAGTATTTTATATGCTATAAATATATGTTGACCTTGCTATTATATATATAACAAATTATTAATATAATAATTAAAATAAAAATATATTTATATTTAAAAATAACTATTGATAAATAGTACCAAAATCATTTAAAAAAATATATAAACTCAACTCAATAAATCTCTACACATGTCTTATACTACCTCCGTTCCACGTACCGTGTCCGCTACACTGTAGACATGGTATTTTAGAAGGGATATAATTAGTAGATAATTAAAAATATATTAGTGAAAATAATTATCCTATAATATAAATAATTATAAATTAAGATTAAAATAACTAATTAGTTTAATTAAAATTTAAAAGAAAAAAAAATTAAAAAGTTTAAAATGAGATTAAAGTGTGTAATTATTTTCCAAAAAAGAAAAGTGACATGGTATATGGGACAGACAGAAACGACAACATGGACATAGTATGTGGGACAGATGGAGTAGTATATTTTAATCTAATAGTGTCGACAAATCAATGTGGAAGTCGTGTGATCCTCTAAGTTACCAAGAATTAAATAAAAATAATTAATATATAATTATTTAATTTAAAATTTAAGCTAAAAATAAACAATAAAATGTGCCTAACTAACTATATATAGGTGTAGATGAAATTTATAAGCAAAACCACACACATATATATATATATATATACATGTTTTAATGGCTGAGATTTGTCAACAGGGAATTGATTACACAGCCTTATCATCCTCAAAGATTCCCAAATTAATAACATCCACTAATTAATTTAAAAATAATGATCATATAATAAAATAAATTAAATTAAATTAATCACTATCTCATATTTCAATATAGTTAATTTTCTTGTTGACTATTGCCCTAATATGCATTTTGTCTTTTCACCTCTTTAAAATATTCAGGAGACAAAAAAAATTGATTTGATTGTTATTATTATTATTTAAAATCATTTATATATATATATATATATATGTTTTATTACTCCCTTCATCCCACGTATCATGTCCACGTCGCCGTTTCTGTCTGTCTCATATTCTATGTGACTTTCCTCTTTTGGAAAATAATTACACACTTTAATCTTATTTTAAACTTTTTAATTTATTTTTTTAATTTTAATTAAATTAATTAGCTATTTTAATCTTAATTTATAATTATTTTATATTATAGGATAATTATTTTCACTAATACATTGTTAATTATTTATTAATTACACATCTTCTAAAATACCATGTCTACAGTGCAGCAGACAAGGTATATGGGACGAATGGATTATTATATTATTACTTTTATACTTAAGTGCATTTTAATAAGATAAAATTACAAGGATTGCTTACTTGTGATTTATTATTATTATTATTATTACTATTATTATTATTATTTGTTAACAATTAGTTTTGTTTATTTTGAAAATAAAGTTAATTGTATGTGTTGACTTTGTGTGTTTCTATGGATGGATGTATTTTTTTTATGTTAGGTAATTGATATATAAAAATATACATATATATTTTGTGTTGCATATTTTATTTTTTTAATATGTGTAATATCATTTTGATATTTTATTTTATTGGAAAATTAATACTTTCTTCATCAGGAGTAATTGTATTATTTTTTTTATTATCCGTTAAATTTATGTATAATTAATTAATAGTAATATATTATTTATTTAAAATTTTATTGTTATTACTTTAATAAATAACTAATTTATTACTATTTTTTTATTTTTTTCACTAATTTTTTATTCCCTCATTAATAAATTTCTCTTAATGCATAAATTTTAATTTTTTATTTATTTATATTTATATTACTCCCTCCGTCCGTTCTAGGTAATTTGGGCGTGTTAATGTAGACACTGAAATTTAGGTAAAATATGATTAGTAAGTAATTAAGAAGTGTATTAGTAAAAATAATTATTGTATAGTAAAAACAATTATAGATTAAGACTAAAATAACTAAATACTTTAATTTAGATTAAAAAATTATAAAATACAAAATTTAAAATATAATTAAAGTGTATAATAATATTCCAAAAAAAGAAATTGTAAGTTACGTGAGACGAATGGAAATAGAGACAAATTATGTGGGACGAAGAGAGTAAATACTTAACATACTGTTACTTCTTAAATTAAATTATGTGCCCAAATAATATGATACTCCTTCTTTTTATTTATTCTCTCACTTTTTTTAAAAAAAAAAAAATTATACACTTTAATTTTATTTTATAATTTTTATTTTTATTTTTAAAATTTTAATTATACTAATTAATTATCTTAATTTTAGTTTAAAATTACTTTTATTATATAATAATTATTTTTACTAATATATTTTTAATTATTTATTAATTATTTTATTCTTAAAATCTCATGTTTACCATGTAATTAGAACATTGTAGTCGGACGGAGAGAGTATAAACAGCCGTAACAGAAAGAATATACTCCCTACGTCCTAATACAATAGTCTAGTTTACTATTTTTGTCCATCCCAAAATAATAATTTTATTTTCATAAATAACCATATCACCGTAAAACTATCCATATTTTTTAATTTTTTTTTATTACACAATTGCCACTACTTTTTACACTAATACACTTACAAGGGCAAAAAAATCTTTTATCAACACTTTTTACCCACTACCAATATAATATCAATGTTCCTAAAATCCCGTGCCCAGTCCAATTAAGATACTCCCTCCTCCCACATAATTTGTCCTTATTTTCTATTTTTGTTCGTCCCACATAATTTATCCTTTCTTTTTTTAGAAAATTAATTATACACTTTAATTATATTTTAAATTTTAAAATTTAAATTTTTTTAATCTTAATTAAACTATTTAGTTATCTTAATTAATCTATAATTACTTTTACTAAATAATAATTATTTTTACTAATACATTTTTTAATTACTTACTAATTATATTTTACCTAAATTTCTGTGTGTACAGTAATACATCTATATTACATGGGACGGAGACAGTAATATTTATGAGACGAAATGAGTATTTTAATAGAAATTGTACATAAAAAGTGAGTGTTGAAAATGTTAAAAATTTCAAACCAAATGAGTCAAATTCAATAATGGTGGCACAAATGTATTCTTTCTCTAGTTAACATGTGCCACAATCAATTATATATATATAAATATAATTTGATGCATCATATCAAATAAAGTGCCCAAAAAAGACAATTAATATTTCCTTAATATTAATACCAACAAAAGTTAGGTATGAACATATAATGATAAAAACTTAAGATTTTAAAAGATCTTAACAAGAATTTCTTGTTTAAAGATGCAATCTATATATATATATATATATATTGTGTGTCAAATGGGGAAAAGAATTAGTTCGACTTCAACGACGTCGAGAATCGACGAACGAATTGATTGTTGAATCAATTATTATAAGTTGTTGGATCAATTATTAATCGACTATTGTTAATTTTGAATATATGTTCGATCGGTGATGATTGTATAGTTCACTTTATTTTTAAATACGTCGGATTGTACGATACTACATTGTTGAGTATCGTCGTGTAATTTTTCGTAGTTACTATAATAAGGATTTATTTTTATTTTTATTTTTATTTTTATTTTGAGAATTATGTTTCTTTAATCAATTATTTAAATTTTGCATTTTTTCGAAAAAATCAATCATTTTAATTTTTTGGTATCGACTATTATTTTAAGTGTGTTTGATTGCGGGCGGATTTTAGTTTTTCTGTTTGGATTTTTTAATACTAGTAAAAAGTTGAATTTGAATAATTGTTTGATGTAATATAAATATAGGTCGATGTGATATTTTAATATAAAATAAATTTGTAATATAATATTAAAAGAAAAAATAAAAGAATTATTTGATTTGATATTTTTAAAAAAACAAATTAAATAGTAAAAATACGTGGTAAAACCCAAGGAACTAACATGTTTAATTTTTATTTAAATTGAACTGATAGCGTATTTGTTTGCAAGCTGAAATACTATTAGCAGTATGTTTCTATTTTTTCCCAACTATTTTCCCAAATTTTAATTTTAAGATAGAATCTTTCATTTATTTTTATTTTATTTTATTTTTAAGCTCATTTCTAAATAAGCATAAATATTTTTTCATAAATTATTTTATTTTACTTGTGTAAATATTTTTATTTTCAATTATTTATTCATATTACAAAAGTTTAATTTTCTCACAAAATTATATTTATTGTGACTATACTTTAATACTCCCTCCGTGTCTCACTTACCACGTCTATGTTGCCGTTTTTGTCTGTTCCACGTACATGTCACTTTCCTTTTTTGAAAAATAATTATACACTTTTAAATTTTAATTAAACTAATTAATTATTTTAATCTTAATTTATAATTATTTATATTATAGAATAATTATTTTCACTAATAAATTCTTATTTATATTATAGCAAGACAAGGCATGTGGGACTGAAGTAGTAAAATAAAACATTCAAAAATAAAAAATAAAAATTATATTCTAAATTAATTTTAAATTAAATATATTATATTACATCATTATCCACTTACAATCAAGCAACAACGTTAGCATTATTTAAACACTAAAATACAACTTGCAATTGCAACCAAAAGCAACCCAAATTCTTAAAAATACATAAATATTATATATATAGTAAAATGTTCAACAAAAAATTATAAAAAAATTCATATAACGAATTTGTAATATTTTTAAATTTAAATATTTCCTAGCCATATATATATATATATATTAAAGATTCTTCCCATGTAACAGTAATAAATGAAAACCAAAAAAACACAAACAAACAACAAACCATTTTCATTCAGAAAACAAATTAATCGCAATGAGATTCATCACTACTGATATGAATAGAAACTTGTTTTGTTTTATGTGTAGAGATTTTGGCAATTTGTGGATGCGCTGTAAATGATTTGAACCTTTTTTGTTTGGACTTGTTGAAGAAACGTACAAATCTGATCTGATCTGATCTGATCTATGTAGATATATATAGATACAGATATACATGTATATATATATATACAGGATGATGATGATGATGATGATGATGATGATGAATGATGATGGTGGTGGTGGTGCAGTGGATCTAGAAAGTTCTAATTGATTGTAACCGTTTTCAATTTAAGAGGTGAGTGTTGTCTACTGTGCGATTGGTACAGTAATTTAAAGTGGATTGAAGGATTAGGGTAAAAACCTGTTCACGCGGATTGCGAGCGGCGGAGGATGAGCGGCGGCGGCGGCGGAACACGTGGCGGTCGGCAAGTCGCCGCACTTTTGGCACCGCGCCGCCCCCAAAATCTGGCGGCAGGAAGGACAGGACGAGTGAGATCCTAGCCACGTGTCAATGCACAAAACGTGGAATCCATGGCCGCACTGCGGAAGCACTCGGATCTCTTCGCCGGCGACGAAATCGCCGAGGCAAATGGCGCAGTCGGAGAGCTTAGCAGCTGCGTGTTCGCCGTCTTCGCCGCCGTAGGTTAGCTTGGGGAGCGAATTAAGTACCTTCTTCTTCACGCCTCTGTTCGCCGCCGCCGCCGCCGCGTCGTGCGCGCCGGCCATACGTCGAATCCAGGCGCACCGCGCCACCACGAGGAGTCCGAGGACGCAGATGAGCGCGCAGAGAAGCGCGGTGAGGATGACTACGAAATCGGAGTTTAGAGTTCCCATATCCGGCGGAGATGTGTTGTTTTTTTGCGATTGATGCGTCGGAGATGCGTATTCCTTTGGCGATTGGTGCGGCGGCGCCTCCACCGGCGATATGCCGCCGGCGAGTTGTCTGGAGCGGGCGGTCATATAGAGATAGAAAGAGAGCGAAGTTTTCTGAAGAAGATTCAGATGCGAAGGCAGAAGAAGCGTATATTTTATTTTTATATTTAAATATAATTAATTTATATTAGAAATAAGGCAAATATTAATAAGAGAATTGCAGAGTAGCTTCAATTGCAAATAGGTTTACTTTTAGGGGTCTCCCTACAATTTATAGGAATTGATGGACTTTTAATAAAATTATATACATATCGTAAAATTTTATCATACAATTAATGCCTTTTATAAGGCTGTTATTATATCGTATGACTTAGGTCCAATGTTGTGATTTTTGTTTGTGTGATTTTTATTTTGGGTTTGAGTTTTAAATGGTAAAATTTTAAATTAAAATAATTATTTATTAAGATATAAATATGTATTGATATAATATTTTGAATACAAAATTAAATTTAAATATAATATTTTTACATGTAACCGTGAGAATTGTATAATTAAAATATATACTTCATAGTTGTTTTCATGTCTCTTGAAATACTTTAATATTAATTGTTTTTCTTTTTAACAAATAATAAATAATATTCTTTCCGTTTTAATATATATATTTTTTTATTAGTGATACGATCTTTAAAAAAATTATGTTTAATTAGTTAATAGTAATGAGTTATGATATTATTTTATGATTTTTATATAATTAATAATATTAATAGTTTTAAAATAAATTTAATATATATATAATTAAGAAAATTAGAATAAAATTTTCTATAATAAAAGTATATAAAAAATATATATTATTTATAAACTAATTTTATAAAAGATATGAATTTTATTTTTTTAAAAATAGATAGTAATAAAAGAATTTTGAATAAATCTACATATGTATAATATTATATGTTGTGTAGATAATTAAATTAAATTTATATCAGTTAGGCACATTTTGATTAAGTAATTTTATACAAAATTGAAAAGTATCAATTGTTATGAAATAAACAAAAATAAAAAATGTATCATTTGTTGTAAGATAGAAGAAATATATTCATATTCATGATAGTTTTATTAAAAAGAATAAGCATTAATTGAATATCACATCTATTTTTTTTTATCAATTATATTACATTAAAATTTAATTTTACATTCAAAAATATCACATCAATACATATTTATATCACATCAAACAATTATTTCAATATAAAATTTTACTATTCGGAACCAATAATAAAACCCTATAATTATTTTCATGGAATAAATATATCTTATTTTAGAATAAACAAATACAAAACGAAATTAAAATTTGGAGTAAACACACTCGAAATTACTAAAAATGAGTATAGATTCGATTAATGGAAATGAGGCATTTAATTTGAAAAAAGTGGTTGAAATGAGACTATCACAAATTAATGTCTTTCACATGACGAGGATTTAGTTTCATACATTTTGGGTAAAGTAATTTGGAAATGTTACGGTTACGTTGCAACACATTTTTATTCATTTGATACTATATTTTTTTTCGAAAAAATTACATTAATATATATATATATTTTTTTAACTTCCAAAATTTTCAAAAACCTCTAAAAATCCCTTATCTAAACAAACTCTACTGTCCGGACAACACCTGAAAATTTACGTTTTGTTATTTTATATGTTCAAACACAATGAGCTACTTTTTCCGTCTTAGATATTTTGGATTCATTAATGTAAATACAAAAATTTAAGTAAAATATAATGAATAAATAGTTTAAAATGTATTAATAAAAATAATTATAGACCTCAATATACTTTAAAAAATGATAAATTATATAAAAGATTTTATGTAGGACAAGAGAATATATAATTCATTATACATTATGAATATTTTAAAATTTACAGTATCGTTCTATTAAATTAAAATATAAAAAAAAAAATTACATAAGAAATACTCACTAATTATCATTAAAATACAATACAATATTTTTTCCATCAACTCACAAAGTATACGTATTTTTATTTTGAATTCGTATTTTTATTTTGAATTCTTCAATACAAAATAACTATTTTAAAATATCTATATGTTTTTATATAAATACTCATACTTTATCATCACATCATTAATTATACACCAAAAAACAATGACAAAAGTATCTAACTACTGTAATTAAAATACTACTCACTGTTCCATAACAAACTATTCATTTTTTCATTTTAGTTTGTTCCATAACAAAGTATTTATTTCATTTTTTTTTTTTATAGTAACGGTACTATCTACATAACATTGCAAATACCCTTATAACTTACAATATATTACACAAATGTCATTACAATACTAATAAAATTATTTTAGTCATTTCTACTTTATTTCTACTATATTTCAATATAATACTAATATTTCTAAAACTCCGTAAAACAAACAGACACATAGCTATAGGACGGAAGGAATACTATTTTTAAAATTTTGCACCAAAGCTAAATATTTACATTCAAAACGAATGGATATAATATCTATGCTAAAAATAGCATAAAAGTTACGGGTACAAAAGAGTATAAAACGAAATGAACAACAACAACAACAACAACAATAATAATAATAATAATAATAATAATAATAATACTCTCTATTTTGGAATATTTTCACACACATATACTCCCTTGTCCACAAACTAATGTCCTATTTTTTTATTTGGAATGTCCAACAATTATTGTGTTTTTTTTTATACACAAAATTTATCTTTTTACCCTTACATTATTTACTTATTTTCTATACACAAGATTAAGGGTAAATTTGTCATTTTATAATAAAAACTTTAATTGCCTAAAAATACGTATAAATATCAAATAGGATATTAGAAAATAGACGGAGGAGTATATTTGAGATATAATAACCTAAATGCATATGTTGCTTTTAAAATAATTAATTTTTTTGAAGTCGGTTGTCGCCTTAAATGAGAGAAATTTGCACCATGTTCATTTTCTCATTAAAAAACATTTGAAATATAAAAACAATATTTACTTTTTCTTTCAAATTTATTTTTACTTATTTATTGTAATTCAAATTTATTACTGTTTTTTTAATTTAAAAAAAAAAAATCAATTTTTCTACTTTTTTTTTTACCAAAAAAAAAATATTTCTACTTATTTTTCTTAAAATTAATGTCCGATCAAATGAGCACATAATTGGATGACGGAGAACACAAATTTTATATTCAACACAACATTCTGTTAAATAAAATCAACGTAGTTGTGAGAACACACCATTTGTTCTGAATTCAAATACTCAATTCGTGCCAATACAATAATTTTTTTACCATTTTTGTCCCTCCCAAAACAATAATCTAATTTCCATAAATAACCATATCACTATAAATTACCCTTACTTTTTCATTATTATTACACAATTGTCACTGCTTTTTAATACTTACTACACTCACACAGGTGCAAAATTTTTTTTTATCATATAATATAAATATTCCTTAAATTTCGTGTAAAAAACGACCAAAATTATAATTTTGGGACGAAAAAAGTAGAAATTGTGTTGATTTTGACTATGACATGCAAGAATTGTTTATGTATTATATTTGTATTTACATTCACATGCAACGAAGAAAACATCTTATAGTTGAAAACAATACAATCTATAATTAAATTAAATATAAATAGTATATTCATACAACGCCACTGTTTACTCTTATTTAATATTTAATATTTAATATTTTATGTATTATTTATATTTATGTATGCTAACGACCCTTTACTGTATATTGTCGTTGCTGATTTAATCTATTATATACCTTTTAATTGACCCGAGAATGTATTTATTATTATTATTATTATTATTATTATTAGTGATTAAATAGTATAAGATTTATTTGCGATTTCTTAAATTTGCCAAAACTCCGATTTAATTCTCTGCATTTAGTTCTCTCATCTCTTATTATTTAACAATGATTTAATAATTACTCCCTCTATCCCATCTATTATCTCCACACTGCCGTGTCATTTTCTTTTTTTTTTTTTAAATTGATTACACACTTTAATCTCATTTCAAATTTTATAATTTAATTTTAATTTATAATGATTTATATTATAAAATAATTATTTTCACTAATATATTCTTAAATATCTACTAATTATACTTATCATAAATTCTCGCGTCTACAATAACGCGGACATCCAATGTGAGACGAAAGAAGTATAAAATTTCAGACAAGTAAAAGATCTAGTACAACAATCACATTTAACTAATGATAAAATGAGAGTTAAATACAAAATTAAACTTCAAAAAACAATAGAAAATTTTGTACAACTTTCATAATCGGCATATAAATTTTATATTGTTTCGAGCTTTTTTTTTTTTAATTATTTTTTTGGAAAATCTTGAATATTGGTTGTCAAACAAACCAACATGGACGGGCTACAGTGTAGTATTAAATGATTACTTATGATACATGCACTTCTATTACTATATTTACCAAATATCACATTAACAAATTTATTTAATTTTTCTTTATACAATTTTTATTTTAAAAAAATAAAATAATCATTAAATATAATATTTTATTTAAAAAAATTCTACTGTTATAAAAAATACTAAAAATATCAAATCTAAGCATATAATTTGTATTTTTATATTATTCTAAAGTATAACTTCATTTAAACTAATCACTTCAATGTCTATTTATTTCATATTAAATAATTAGTACTTCAAATTAAATTTTAGTATTCTCCAAACACAACTTCCAAAAATTACAACCAAACTTTAATGTAGTTAGACCAAGTCCGTTTAGAACCCACTGTTCAAATAATTAAACCCTAACTCTTAACTAACCAAGCAAGACATGGAGTCCCCACTAAAACCCATTCACATTCCTCTATAAATTTCAGTACTATTTTCCCACTGGAAAATTTATTTCCACCTTAAAATAAAATAAAATAAAATTATTATCTTCCAAAACAATCCCATCAACAGAACATCATTAACACAATTAACTCTGGACTTGATTCATCACTATTTATATGTTATATATAAGTCTTCCTAATCTATTAAATCAAATACACTACCTTAGTTGGCCACATTTATTTATTTATTTATTTATTTTTTTTAGTGTTCATCTTTGAATATTAAATATTATTGTTCACAAAATTATATAAATATAAAGATATTATAATGAAGGAAAGGAGGAAGTATTCATTTTTCATTTAATATATTACCAAAAAAACCAATTTTCAATTCAAAATATCACCTCAAACGTATATTTATATCACACTCAAATCTACATTTACTATTCACAAAACTCCAAATTCAAACCCAAACCTTAAAAAACAAAAAGAAAACACAATCTTTAACTATTATGAGTTATTTATTGAATCAATGGTTTAATGGCCATTTCAAACTATGAAAAGATCATCATGTTACTATCAAGTCCACTAAGCAAAATCAAGCCAAAATGCAATACACATGGAAGCACATAGAATTTATGACCATCATTTTCTCCCAAAATTGGTCAACATAAAAGTGTCTTTATCAACTTTAGTACTAGTTTGGTATGACATCACACAACTTGTGAGACAGATACCATCTTCGAAACTTCCCAAACTTCACTTTACTAGCCCACATACATATCTCAAAACAAACACAACAATCATTCAATTCCCACCCTTCATTTTTAGGCCACATTTGATTAGACTTTACAGCCTCAACCTAATCGAAATAGGACATGGCCTTTTTCGATGCTCCAAGGCTGTTAGACCGCACTGAACTCCGCTGTACTAACTACTTTCTTTTCTTACTCGACCATGTGAATTTCTAGATGAGTTTCAAACTTTCAAACAAACTATCGTCGCTCTAAATGTATAGATCGAATCATCTCATATACTCACACTGTCATTTAAAACTATGCTTACTTTTATTTTTAGTAAAAACCAACTACTTTAGTTAAAAAATATATAAAGCGAAGGTTGACTACAGTGTAAATTAAAATTGAGACATAATGAAGAACACTGCACGCATTAAGATTAATAGTTGAGCTACAGCTACAGATAAAATAATTTGTGTTGCTAAATTAACTACGAGAAAAGAGCCATGTCCACGTAATGATCACAAATTGAAAGACAAAACTCACCTCAGGTTTGCTGCGGGCACAATCCTGGACGCCATTAAAGACCACATTGATTTTAGCTGTCGACAGAAAGAGCAGGGAACGTGGTGCCATAACAAGCCATGTGAGCATCAAGAAAAATGCAACCCAACCCATTCTTTAGATGGCTGCCTAACAGATGACCTGTGCACATTGAAATCACAAATTATGTACGTGGACTTGTTGAAATCACACACGTCATGACCATGACCCTAAGAATAGACGAGTGGCAATTATCACATGTTAGGTATATATATGTGGACCATGCTGTTGTCAGGTTTGTTTCTAAAACCTCTGTTAAACAATTCCCATTTTGTAATATCAATTAAGAAAACAAAGCATGCCAGAGATCGGCGTAGCCAAAGGAGAATTCAAGAAGAGACAATTATCTGCGCATATATATAAAAGAAAATGCATGAACGAATTCAAGGCAGTTTAGAGGAATTCTCTGTTGTCTAATCATCGTTACCTCAAATTATTTTGTTTCTTATTTCTTCCAGCTTTTTTAAGATCTCAGCTGGAGTTCTATCCAGCTCATCTGCAATTTTACGCTGCATATCCATGGGTAAAGTTGGGAATTGTTCACACAAATCTCCGTCAATCACATCCTGCAAAATTATGACACAACATCTCATTACAACCCATTAACAAACACCATAATTTTCAATTAGCAAAGGGGAATGCAGATGCAAGTAGATATAAATGCAAAGAAATGTCTGGGGTTCGCCACCTGGTGTATTAAAGTCGATACTCAACACAGAAGCTCTTGAAATAAGTAGAAACTATTAACTAAATCTACAAGCTTTTCAAAACAGAAGGAATATTTTGTTAGCCGAAAGGAATGTTTTCTGAAAGCCTAAAATGCTAAATGTTAGGAAAATGAACACTATAAATCCCTACAATTAAGTACAGAAACAGAATAACAGAGAAGTGAAAAGATTTTCAGATTGTTTCTGCTGCAACACATTGGCAGAACCCAAAATGTCTCCCCTTTGGTTTATACCTAAGGTATATGGGAATCATGCCCTAGCCTACCAAGACACTATGGGCAAGCAATCGTGATCTATTGGCAACAAATATTAAAAAATCAGCACCCTGGATAATTATTTGATTTATTACTTGTAGGGCAGGGTAACAGCAGACCCCCCTCTCCCCAAGTATACAGTTGAGAACAAATATGACATTTATGAAATAAATACGTATTTGCATTCAATGCATTGAACTATAAGGATAAAAAATGAGCCTGGATTTCTTGTCTCAAGACATTAATATGAAAGAATTAACTAAGGGAACTCACCTTCACTGGAAAGTAAGAAGATCTGTAGGCCATGTGGTCTCGACCACATAATGGTGGGTGCTCCTGCCGCAAGTGCATCTCCAAATGAGAGAAGAAGTCAACATCATCGCGAGATGTGAAGGGTAAAAATGCCCCTAAACTACCCATCACAGTCCCGTAGATAATACACTCCCCACCACCTGGAATCAGAGATGCCCTTTGGAGGCAAGAGACCACATCACCAACATGGAACTGAACTATCTCTTCCACTTTGTTGGGGGCCCCATTGAGCTTTCCTTGCTCCCACTTTATCTTACCACCAGTTGGATCCTCCTCAATCTCATCTGACACATCCTGCGGCAACCGAACAAAGTAAACATTTCCGAATTTGTCAGAGCCAGCCATGGTGTCGAAGTCCACGTGCTGTGTTGCAGTAAGCCATCTGGGAACAGTATCATCAGCAAATATGTACAGCTGGTTTTCATCACGCCTGTACTTACAATAATGGAAAGACTGCAAAAAAAGAATATTTATATAATTAGTTCTTCGAACGGATAAAGTTGGAATTAACAGGAATATCGGTTGGTATAACAATAGTGTAACCACTAAACCGGTAAACCCATCTTCTCGAATCCTTCAAGATTAGTTTGTAATCTGGGTCATACATAAGCTTTAAAGATACAGCTCATGAGAAAAGGAAGTGATATGAGTAGAAAGGATAATCACTATTGTCCTACAACCTCCTTTTTTGGATGATTTAGAGGAAAAAGATGCATACATGTTGGTCTACATATATTAACAGGAACATTATTTGTTCCTCGACGCTATAGAATGGTTGTGCTCTTAAAGCCTTTTGGACTACTCCCTATTGCATTTTCTAGCACAGTCATTCTACAAATCCTTATATTAATGTTCAAAAAACATATAAGCTTATGAACATTGCAGAATATCAAAATATTGCAAAGAATCCCCCACAAGTATATTCAGGATCTTCGATCAGAAAGAACAATTGAATAATTTTAAATGTCATCTTGTCACTCCATGCGAGAAATTTTCATAAAGTGAAATCCACTTTAAAATGCAACTTCAGTAATCAGTTCATAATCAACTAGTCAGAAATAATGACCAAAGCTTCGTAACCACACAGGCACACTGGGTAAGATAGATTGTCAGAGAACATACCTCCTGCATATCGCCAACATAAATCCGATCACGGTACGTGTGTATAGATGTGATAGTGTTGGGAAACAACTTATTCTCACACTTTCTAAGCAATCTCCTTTTCCCTAGATCATACAATCTTAGCACAGGTCCTATCCCAGCCAATAATCTTCCTTGGAATTGACACAACGCAAGAGGAACCCCCTCCACTTGTGTCTTGTGCAAAAGTTCAAGGACCTTCCCTTCTTCCTTAAACCTATATATGTGAATAAATCCTGCCTCAAAGGATCTTTTGGGCAAAAACTTTAGACCTTTTGCAGTACCCACAGCTAATAGAGTACCATATTCTTTATCATGAAAATTCACAGTGCACATGCTGAATGCAGCTTCGTTATCTTGAAGCTCCAGCAAGCATGTTGTTTGTGTTGTCCTCGGATCCAAAACTCTGATGCAAGAAACCCACTTCCCAGACTCTGCCTTTGGATAACCATATTGCTCATCGGAAAGTGGATCATTAGCATCTTCATCATCGCCATTCTCCATCTGCTCTACATTCCCATTTTCTCCCATCCCAGAAGCCTCAAACGATTCCTTTTTTGCAGCTTCACGCTCTTCCGCATTGAAAGCTCCCTGATCACTTTCAATAATTACCAAAAGCTTTCGCTTAGGTTGAATTACAAACTTTCTCGGTGTATACCTTAAAGGTATAGCAGTCTCATTAAATGATTCTCCCAGTCTCTCGATAGTGAAAACCCTCAACGCATCCCCAGCTACCGCAACAACACCTTCAGCACACTGATCTGATGAAAAGGAAGCTGCATATTCAAGAGTTTCATATGAAAGTGGTGTCAAGAGGAAATGCCCTTGATGTATGTAACCTAGCCAAGGCCTACTTGACAAACAAAGCATCGCTCTCCGTCCTCTCACATTAATAGAAAAGAGCTTTGGAGCCCTGAGACCTAAGAACCGAGACCGGGCATCTGAAAGCTGTCCAGTAACCATATCAACCACTGTCCTGAACAGAACTCCATTTTGCAGACCAGCATTTAGGAAAAGGCTGGCTGGGTGATCTGCTCCATCCTCCCCTCCGCTTGAAGCCTGAACTTCAAGAAAGAGGAGAGATTCTGGAGGAGATGAGACACTTTGCAGACTTAGAATCTGCATACAATCATCCGGATCCAGAGATAAGATGCGGATGGTATTGTCATAAGATCCAACAGCAAGGAAGCGTGACCTTTGTCTTCCTTCAGGCACAGGGGCAATATCCAAACAAGCAATGTCTCCTGACATTTCATGCTTCTCAACCTCCATTAGCTGCCCGGTCATATCAACTTCAAAATATATAAGCTCTCCTCCACTCAGAGCAATGACAACTTGAAGCCTATTAGACCCAACCTTAACAATTGTTCTCTTACCGGGGGTTCTCCACTCATTAACACGCCCATCTTCTCTGATATGTCGAATCCCGCTAGGATGGACTTGCATCAGAGAGTCATCCCCAATCAACGAGACAGCAAGTGAAGGCGTAGTGTCAAGAAATCCACTATCACTAACTTCTTCAACAGTTTCACCAATGGAAAGCACGAGAGTAGCATTTGCAAAAGAAACCACAATATAAGCATCAAACTCATCATTTACATTCTTTTTCACAGTCCACACAGCACTTGGAACACCGGGAAGCTGTGATACTGCCATTTCACTAATAGCCAAACCTGGCCTAAGTATCCTAAGAGATGAACGAGGACCCCGTCCACAAAGTGAAAATATCTGAGGAGTTTCTTCTTCAAAGAGGTTAATAATTTTCATATCCATTATGGGCATCAAACTCTCAACCTGATCAATCCTCACTAGATTCTTAAGCTTCCTAGGCTGGAAAAATATAGGCTGAAAACCTTCTTCAGTTTCCATCAGTGTGGCTGACGAGGCCTCCACATCTGGATCATCTCCAATAGCCTGAAACTGATACAAGGCATGGTTTCCAAACTCTGATGCTGCAAACAAGAACCCCGACTTCAAAACACACAATGAAGAAGTCACAGGAATAGTATCAAAGTACTTAATCTTCAATTCTTTGACTCTGTCATTCTCATGATCCAAAGTCACTTTGAAGATATCCCCATATTCAGTTTGCAACAGAAAGAAAAACATAGTTTTCTGCTTATGCATAGCTGCAGAGACAATCAAGACTCCTCGCTCAGCAGGCAGATCCTCCCGTCTTGGAATAACAGCCCGTACATCCGGATGTCCCTGATTTTTATATATAACAAAATTTTCTGTGCACACAAGCACACCACTAGGTCCATCCACACCACCCGGCACTGTCACAAGCATATTAGCTCCATTATCCACCTGGTCAGACCATTTCCTGGAAACATGATTAAGACCTAAATCCAGTTCATAAATTGTCAAATGCTTCTGCGCCTCATTAGCAGCCTGGCCGGTGGGATCTTGATCTGCCTCGGAATAGTCTAACTCTATAGCTGCAAACAAGGGATTTTCGAACGCGCAGTCCACCCCGCAGATTGAATAAACAATGGTGTGGCTTTTATGAGCCTCCAGAGGTGATGAAATAGTCAACCTAGCTGCAGTATCCCTATTCAAAACATAAACAAGCTTCTGCTTTTCACAGGCACCTATCATTACAGCTCTACCCTTAGGATCAACCGCCAAGTACTGCCCAGGTACAATTCTACGGCATCCCGACTTCCCAAAAGTTTCCTGGTGAATTTTATCGAACGTATTCTTTTCCTTATTATAATCAAGTATAACAATCCGCCCAGAATCCGACCCCACAACTATGTAGTCTTTCTGCGCGCCGGTGAGTCGAAACTGTGCCAGAGAACGAATGGCCCCAAATATTTCTACAGAGAGCAGAGACTGGAGCTTACCATTCTCGTCGGGGCGGAGCAGATCGAGGATTTTGCCGCGCGCCACAACAATCTCTTGAGACTTCCCGCCGGAGAAGCTTCCATTGATGGCGCAAACGATTCCGGTGGCTTGCTGCAGCGTCAGGCTGTACAAGTACATGGCGATGGAGATGGAGATGGAGATGGGTGATAGTAGAAAGTTTCAGCTACATCAGTCAAATGAAAAAAAACGACGAGGGTTTTAACAAACCCTAGAATTTGGGCGAAGGAGTAAACAGCAAAATATTCAAAACAAAAAAATGACAAATTACCAAATTGACCCACATATTTCTAAAAATATCACTCAGCCCCAAAGTTAGAAATGAAGTTTACATATAACTCCCTGCCAAGATCTCTCATTCCTAACTTGTACATCTTCCATTCCTCAAGCCAAGAAACATTTCCTTTCATAACTTGTTCTGCAAAATTTGATCAAAATGAGCTTATAAATCTTCTCTTTGCCCCTGTTTTATGTGCTACAACACACACACACATATATATATCGGCTAGTCGTCGATCGCCTCAAGGTATGTCGCCTCGCGGGCTCTTGTGAGTATCCTGAGTCATCATTCCGGAAGCTTCATTTTCCGTCGACAAATATTCCCCTCGGACAGAATCTTCGGAGGTCGCTACGGTTACATGCTGACTCTCTCCCATTTTTTTCTTCGCTTTCTTGTGCCAGTTCATCAGTGCCTTCGAGGTATGTTCATCGAAAACAGACTTCTTTAGGTGTGATCCCATCTGCATAAAAAATGGTGAGTAAGGAAATGTTTTACGTCGCAAAGGGCGAAAACGTAATTTACCTGCGTGACGAGTGCGTAGAGCGGGAGGGTAATATAGCTGCACATGAACTGAACTCCGATTCTGCAGAAGAAGATTTTCACATATCAGATCAAGAATATGGAGCTTAGGATAAATGAATTTGTATCTGTTTAGGATTACCCGATGCAGACTCGTATAACTGCAAGATCGAAGTGGCTATGGAAGCAAGAATAGACTCCGAATTCGTACTGCAAAAATCGTTCGTTTTTTTAGCCTAAACGACGAGAAACGTATAGGGAAAAATGGGTTCTTTACCGTTATCCAAATGAAGTATGTTATCTCGAATGCATTCTGTTAAAGAAAACGAAAATTTCGATGAGAAGATGGTTTTCGTATACGAAACAAATACGGAGAACAATAAATGGCGATCGATTAGACCTGAAATTGGGTGAGATGGATGAGATGGAGGACTAACTGAGGCCATCCGAACCAGAAATGGTTGTCGGAGAGTTGGACAAGAGGAATTCCTTGAACGACGGCGTGCTTCTGCTGAATCTCGACCGCCATGTTGCTTATAATCGACTGAAGCTTCGTCCCAACCGCGAGAATCGTCTGTAAAAACACGCGACGTATTGAATCTTCGATCTTGTAATAATCTTGTAATAATCGAGATTAACGATAATCCTTACCACGAGAGGCATGATGGAAATCCAGAACATAGCTTGCCATCCTGGAATTTGATCGAGAACTGGTTAACGATTCGAACCATTTTCGGAGAAATGAAAAAAGCGCAAACCTTTAACGTTGAGAAGAAGAAAAAGAACGGCGTTTGTCCATAACAGCGGCCTGAGATTGAGTTTCGTCGCAAATTAGTAACGTATAACGGATTTAAGAATAAGTTACGTAGAAGCTTACGGGATTCCCACGACTCTTTTGAAGTCGTCTTCGAGAGATCGTTTAATGTACTTCTGAAAGTTGAATTGGCTTCCCGGCGCCAAATGGACCTACATAAAAACGATGATTCCAACTTAGCTCTGCATCGACGATACACGTCGATGTCGATTATTTTTGTAAGAACGAACTCACCGAGATGAATCCTTTTCGAACGGTTAAGTAGTCAGCTTTTCGGACAGACGAAAACATATGTCGGAAGAAGGAAACCTGATCGACAAAGATTAATACATAACGATCGATCTTAAAGTCGAAACTGGAAAAAGGAATCGTCGTGTTGTCCTTACGATGTAAAACAGAAAACGATTCTCTGTCATCGAGCTGCTGTGGCCTTTAACGAAAGATGTCTCTCGCGCGAATCTGTATGTCGAATTGTCTGCAACAGAATTTATCAGATCCCAAATAAAATCAACGCCGAAACTTCGAAAATGACCGTACCTTCGACAGCAGCTTTGTTTAGAACTTCTTGTTCCCATGCTTTCCATTCGCGAATCTGTTATTATTACATCACGATAACAAGACTTCAAGACAGCTCCGGCGAGTATAAACCTTAAAAAAAAGGAAAAAACAGGATCGAAAAGGCGCGCGCACCTTCATCCTGCCGAGCGACATCGTTGTTGCGCTGAATATGACATGAAATATGGCTAAGAAGAATATGAAGATGTGGAGCTGATGCAATCCATTCACCGATATAAGCGGGACAGTTCCCTAAAAAACATCGATAAAAACAAAAATAAAAACAACGTTCGTTTCTGTCTTAAATTCGACATAAAGTATGTCCTAATTCGGAAAAAAAAAAAAAAAACATGTCAAAATCTCTTACAATGGCGCATTTCTTGGCCGGACTATCAGCTGCTAACATCCGATGTTCGTACCACAGAAGTCGCCTCCGATGTTCATTTTCGTCCTCCTCGAGCTGTTTTGGCGTCTCGTATTCGCACGGCAGCATTACATTGCCGTATTTTTCGGGAATGCACATTCGGGTAATGTAGTTTTGTCCGAACGTCAAGATTAAGGAGATGAACCCCAAAACCATAAGCTCTAAAAATCAATTTCGTCCAAAAGAGATCAAACAGATAGACTAAAGGTTGTGTTTGTTTATAGGATATTGTCAAAAATTAATTATTCATTTAAATTTTTTTCCCCAAAAACATCAGATCAAACATTTATTTTTCATTTTCTATACTATACTTCCTCCTCCGTCCCATTTCAATTTTGTCTTATTTTTCTTTTCTGTCCATCTCACTTCAATTTGCAAGTTTCTATTTTTAGTAAAATTTACTAAATCTATCGATTAACTTAATAAATCAATTTAATTAACTTAATAATATATAACATAACATTATAGAGAATCCGTTTAAAACCTTTATATTATTATATGTCTCTTCAATAAACAAATATTTTTATCTACAACTCTTTTAATAAACTATTTTTATCTCAATTACAAATAAATAAATATATATTTTTCTGTTTATTTGTATTATTTAAAATATTTTAACACATATTTTAAATTTATTTTAATCATATATATTAAAACTACCAATAATATTACTAATATTAAACTCTTTTATCTTAAATATCGTGTCCCAAATCAAATGAGTCTATTGATTGGCAAAGGTCTATTTGCGCTATAGAGCGAGTACTAAAAATTAATTTTACTTGATTGGCAGACGTCAAAGATTATTTATATCAGCTATTCTAATTCAAAATTTTTACTATTCAAATCTAACTCAAAATTCGAACCCCCAAAAGTAAGAAAATTTTCGAAGGATTTTCGCCTCAATCTTACCTCCTTTAATTTTTTCGAGAGCTTCAACCAATGCAAACTTCTTTTTTTCTCGAAAGGCCTTCGAAATCACCAGAGAAAGGATTTAAACAGCAGCACGAAAATGGCGGTAATCGAAAGCAGATAGGGAAAATGAAATTTGGATCAGATATGAACAAGCTATACATAATTTCTACATTATAATCTTCCATTGGCAATTTGATGAATCCTTATGCAAAAAATCCCCAAAAATTAGGGCAGATATAAACACAATTGAATTGAAATTCATCTGCAAACCCTAGAAATTGGGGAAACAGGAAACGATGCAAAAAAAAAAAAAATTCGATTACCTCTCCCACTTTGTGGAGTGTTTTCTCCAATGCGATTGAAATGATAACAATGACTGCGCAGACCAGGGAAACCGCCCACGTCGGGGTCTGCGAGAGGCCCCGATTCATGACTACGTCCCCGATTGCGCCGCCCCCCGCCATTGTTCTTTTCTCCCTCTCCCTTCCTGCGGAAAAGAAAGACAGAGAGAGAGAGAGAAGAAATTTAGGGGGAAAAATTTAATGAAATAAAGAGAAGAAAGAAGAAGAGGTGCTGTTGACCAGAATGTGAATTTGGAAATGGATGGCCTATTTATACCTTCATTTCAATGGCGGATTCTCTCTGCGACTGTGCAGAGATTTCGCTTTGTGGCGGAAGAAGACCGGTTCGAGGTAGTTGAACTTGAACCGGGAGGGTGTCGACGGTTGAATTGGAGTTGGAAAATCGACCCTGGATTTCAGGTTTATTACGAGAATGCCATTAGTTTAGTTCCCTCTGGTCCAACGACTGAGATTTGATTGTACATTAGGGGCAATAATGGAAATATTGGAAGACATGGGAAAAGAGTGGAAGGACACTAATGTTAATATGGTATTCGTTTATAGATACGAATTTAATTCAATCATATTTATATAGGACTAATGGTATATTTTTAAATATTTGCTATTAAATATTCCCTCTCTATATGTCCACGTTGTCGTTTCTCTCAATTACACAAAAAAAAATATATTACACATTTTAATCTCATTTTAAACTTTTTAATTTATTTTTTAAATTTTAATTAAACTAATTAGTTATCTTAATCTTAATTTATAATTATTTATATTATAGAATAATTATTTTCACTAATACATTTTTAATTATTTACTAATTATACCTCTCCTAAAATACCGTGTCTACGGTGTATGGGACGGAGGAAGTAATAAAAAAAAAATAAACAAATGAACGATATTAGCTATATTAGAATCAGATTGATTGCATATTAATTGAACTAAACTATGTTTTTTCAAGAAAAAAAAAAAGAAAAAAAAATACTTTGAATTTGAAACTAAAGGATTATGGTGCAAGAATAAATTTATCAGTTTCGCAGTTTCACGTCATAAAAAAAAAAATAATAATAAAATAAATTGATCAGTACCAAAAAAAAAATACAGCACATCTTTACAATTAATTGAAACTAACATAATATGTGTTAAACTAATTGAAACTATAGACCAACTATTTATATTAAACGAGATTGATTATAGTATATATTATGTGAATTATTGTTATATGCTATCAATTTATACTCTTTATTATATTAACGCAAATTTTGTATGTAATCTCCATTGTGTTTTTAATGTACTATATATTGTCTCATTAGTATATAAGATGTTGTTAGCGTTAACCAACAATAACCAATAACCAATTTGAAATTTTCTGAAATTTTTATTTTTTTTGCAAGGTGAAATTTACATTTTATTCATATTTCTAAAACAAGATTGGAATTTATTTATTAAATTTCCAGAATATGAAGATAAAAAAAGGAAAGAAAAGACAGATTATTAACCGAGTTTGAGTTTTTGATCAAGAAAGGAGACAGCAGCCCTTCAGACAACAGGGTAAGAGTAGTTTTCCAGTAGTAGCAGTAGATAGATTGGGACAGCCTTCAAATGAGAGCTTCGATGTCGTCGGAGCCGACCGCGGCTCCGTTGGGTTGGTCTTGGGACCGTAGCTGGGTCGACATGCTATCTATGGCCGCGTTGAGCTGCTCGATCTTATCGGCCAGTTTCTTGCGTTGCTTCTGCAGCAGAAAACAGATTGAGAAAACGAGTTCTCGTTAGGATGAGAAGTTGTAAGAATGTTCAGCTCCCGAAAAAAACAAGTCTTAATAGCATTTATTCAATCGGCGTGTGCAAATCTAAAGTTTATTTTGTAACTCTTATTAGTAACTCTATCTCATATGGCAATGGTTAATGCGCTAAATTCAACGAATATCGATAGTATTTTGGTGAACAGTATATGATTTATGTTAACAGAATACTAATGAACTGACTACATATGACAATTATTTATACAGCCAATACTAAAATTGATCGTATGTATATACAAGATACCCTATAAATACTTCCGACCAAAAAAAAAAAAAAAAGGTACCATATAAACATTAACCGTCAGAACATGATTTCAATTAATATAGCACAATGGTTAGGATTATGAATCAGCACATAATTGCAAAACAAACAATGCATACTGAGCATATATTATGCTATATAGAAGCATGTGTTTGTACCGTTTTTATGGGGTATTGTACTGCATAAATATGCTTATTGTGCTAAAATTAATAATATACAATATTGTAGTTGTCGGAATATGTATTGTATATTATATAATTTTGTGTTGTTAAACATGTAACGTTTGTTTTACTTAGATGTTACATTGTTAATTGAGGCAAATCAGAATGGAAACTGATCCGAATCACCATATTGATTTGCCCAATCGACACTTAGCAAAATTTAAGCTAAAATGAGGTAAAAAGATAGAGATGTTTCTTGAGAGTAAGAAAGCCGGTTACCTCCAAAGCTTTATCTTCGTCGTAGATAAATTTGGGCAGTTTCTTCATGAGATCCTTTCGATCGGCTCTAGTTAACACATTGCTAATCTGTTCAAACAGGACAAAAACAGAGGAAGATCATCCAAATGGCAATAATAAGTCTATCCCGCAGAAGTCCAGGTTAGAAGACACCTAATCCGAGATTTTTCTATAGATAGGTATCATCACCTGAGGGGCATAAACACAGCTAAGAGTGCCGGCAATTAATCCTCCCAAAATAAAGCCACCGACGAAAAAACCAGCATTGCTTGACCCTCCGTCATCCCTCAAAAGCATGACATCACAAGACGTATTAAAGGTTCCCGTGATAAGTACTAAAACATGAAGGGAGATAGTTCTTCTCTTTGATAAACTAAAATTTTTAATTTCGTTTGAAATATCGCATTGCTCGTATTCAGAAGTGAGCAATTCAAAGACCACAGGAGATGCAAGTCGAATAGAATGTAGATGTCTATGTATATAGAAAAAGTTGTTTTACAGGGAGATGTATAGCAAATCGGTGTGAATTTGGAATACCTATAGGCTGCTTGTATGCTAGCCTTTTTTCGGTTTGATGTTCTTGTGCTGTCGGGAAATCTGATTACCGAATTTGCAGGCTTGATGCGTTGATCGGATGGCTTCAATGAAGTACCTAACACAAAGAAAACATCAACGAAAGGTAAAACAGTTTAATATAGAACCATAGACTATGAACGGATTCGGATCAAAGTTTGTTTGAATCAAAATGAATCACAGACTAGATGACACTTGTGCAGCTATGAACTATACTAAATTAATTGAATTTCCTTCTCAAGCATACTGTAATCACATCTCCTAAATCCATGCCAAGTGCATAGAAATTCACATTTAAAGTACTATCTGTTATTCAACAATTAGGTTAAAGTTCATCGAAAACTATAGAATCTGTAAGTTCAATCCGATACAACAAACAATATGCAAAATAGTGATAGCTAATCCACTGAAATAAATTTAACTCGCTATGCATTTCTAACATGAAAGGCAAGATGAAACACATAATCTGAACATCAAAACTCGACAAACATGCGGGGAGCTCAGAACCGAGATAATCCTTGCAGTTAATAAGAATCCAAAAAAATCCAGTTCGATTCATTCAAACAACAAATCAGAGCTACTCCGAACACTCCGCCGCGTAATAAATAAGCTCAGACAAATATCTCCAAGGATACAGAGAAATTCCCCAAAATTTGACCAAGCAAACTGGAAGAGCATTCAGAAGGAAGAGCATGAGTAAACTTACCACCAGATGCGCAGCGGATTGCTGGTCCTTGAGAAATCAAAAGTGAATTGCATAGAGCCGCCATTGTTGCAGAGAATTGCGAGGAAAAGTGAGTGCGACAAATGAAGGGGATGGGATGCCCTAGCTCGGTCGGCCTAGCAGGTTGCTCAGCGGCGATGAAATCGATGGCACCAAACGGCAGCTCACAACGCCGGCAAGGAATATGTAGGGTGTGTTTGTTTGGGGGTTTGGATTTTGAATTGGGATTTGAATAGTAAAAATTTTGAATTTGAATAGTTGTATGATGTGATATAAATAGGTGTTGATGTGATGTTTTGAATGTAAAATTGATTTTTAGTATAATATAAAAAATGAAAAATAGGTGTTTGATTTGATATTTTTGGGGGAAAAAAATTGGATGAATAGTAGAAATCTTATTAAATCCCCCAAACAAACACACCCGTAGTGTATATCCGTATATTATATTTATATACACTATTCTGTATTTATATACATACATATATGATATATCCAATACAAGCGCCATTTTCATTTTTATGTTAATTATTTATTTCTCTATTTAGGCTACTCTTTGGTGTGTTTATTTGAACATGGATTTGAAATTGTCTTTTACTTTTTTTTTTTTTTTTTTAAAGTAGATTTTTAAATATTAATATTATAATAAGTTGCATTGAAAAAGACAAAAATATTTTTATTATTATTGTCTAATATAAAAGTAATGATATTTATCTGGTGTAAGTTGGAAGAGTATTTATTAGGTTAAGTAGGTAGTACAATTATTAAATTAGGAAATGGTAACCTTGTTTTGTTTTGGGACAGTCGAAAAAAAAATGAAAAATGACAATCTTTCAATGCAACGAAGGATCATATCATAATACCAATAATAAAAATTAGAGTAAAAAATCAAAAGTAAAAATAGGATCATATTTTTTATTCGTCTTAAATAAAAGTAAGAATAATTAAGTCAATTTAAATATTATTTTAGAATTAAAAATTTATATTTGTTAAATATGTTTAATACAATAATTTACTTAAAAATAGTAAGAGATCATTTTTTATGAATAAAAAAAAAAGGAATTTTTTTATTGCCGACTATAATATATTAATTTAAATATATATCTTCATTGAAAATTATCACAATAAAATAAAATAAAATAAAAGTTACTTTTGATATATTAAAATATTTCCTAATAGATCTAAACAAATCACATTTTTATAGAAAAAGCTTCTCCAGTACAAATATATTTTAGTTCAATAAAATTATATACACTGTTTATTTATTTTTATTTAAAATATTAGATAATCAAAATATTACTTATTTAATTATTTATTCATACTATTTTTAAGATTTTGAACATATTTTTCTTAAATATATAAAATTAAATTTACATATATTTGAAAGTTCGCTAAAAAGAAAATTATAAAATATTGAATTAATATGATATAAACAAATATATTTTAACTATTAAATTATTTTTAATTAATATAAAAATTAAATATTTAATATCATGAATATGTTTTGTTTGCTTTTTTTATTATTTTAATGTTTTTATAATTTTTCTTGTATCTAATATGTACTTATTAAAATAATATTTAAATTTAAAAATTCAAACTCTATTATATATACCGTTCTTCCAACAAATTATTATTAACATTATTCTTAATATTTATATTTTATTATCCCATAAAAAAGTAGTATTATTTTTATATAATTTTTTGAATTGGTTTCCTTTGTAAAAAAATTTTATTATATTTTTTTAAAAAAAATAAAATTAATATATTACACATTCATTAGTTTTACGTAATTCCTTGCATTTTACATAAATTCTTTTTTAAAATTAAAATACAAAAAAATCCACCTTATATTTCACATAATATATATATATATATAAATTGAATCAAAATATTAAGGGTGTGTTTGACTGAGATTTGGATTTTGGATTGAAATTTGAATAATAAAAATTTGAATATGTATGACGTGATATAAATAAGCCTTGATGCGAAGTTATGAACGTAAAAATTAGATTTTAGTTTAATAAAAATAAATAAAAATTGAGTGTTTGATTTGATATTTTGGGAGAAAAAAGAAAGTTGAAATAGTAAAATCAAAAATAAAATCTTACAAGAAAACAAGGGTGTGTTTGGTTGGAGGTTTGATTTTGGATTGAGATTTAAATAATAAAAATTTTGAATACGAATAGTTGTACGATGTGATATAAATAGATATTGATGTGATGTTTTGAATGTAAAATTGATTTTTAGTATAATATAAAAAAATAAAATAAATATTTGATTTGATATTTTTAGAGAGAAAAAAAAAATAAATGAAAAGTAAAGTTTTGGGAAAATCCCCCGAACAAACACTCTAAATAAAGAAAGTGAGAAAAGTCCTGCCGAAGATTTACCCAGTGCGCACTTTCGGATAGCCACTGCAAATTCTCACTATCACGTAAAAAAAAAAAAAAAAAGTGAGAAAAGCCTTTATGAACACAAAGCCTTTATTCTGGTGGTTGTCACGTGCGAAAAGGACACGGCCGGCGGCCAGCCCACCAGCCAAAGAACAAATCTTGAAACGACAAGACGACGTCGTTTCCCGAGCTCAAGCAATCAGCATTCTCCGCGTTAACTACCCTAATAACATAATAACATTTATAATAATAATAATAATAATAATATCATGACTCATTTCATCTTTACTACATTAATCACCATTTCTCCACTCCTTACTAATAATAACATCCTCTTGCTCAAATTAAACACTAGCATATACATATAGATACATATATAAGGAGGCCGTCGTCATCCATGGCCGGCGGCGGAAGCTCCGGCGACCGCTCCCTCGAGGAAACCTCCACTTGGGCCGTTGCCATTGTCTGCGCTATTCTTGTCGTCATTTCCGTCGCCATCGAGAATGGAATCCAATCCCTCGGAAGGGTAACTATTGATAAATACTTTTGTCTAGATGAAATGTATTTTTCTATTTTATGTTAATAAATTTAAAAATAATTATTTTTATTAATCGATGAAAATATGTAAGATGATTTTGATATTTTTGATATATTAAATATAAGTAAATTTTTTTTTTTTTTTTTTTTTTGTAAAAATGAAGTGTATTTTGATATTTATTAATAGTTACTGTAATAATAATAAAAAATAGATAATTACCTGACCAAACATTAAAAAAGCATATAAAGCTATAAAAAGATAAAATAAAAATCTAAAATATATATATTTAAAATTATGACAAAAATTGCATATATTTGGACAGTGGTTTCAAAAGCGTGAGAAGAAGGCAATGATCGAAGCCCTTGAGAAGATCAAAGCAGGTAATTATAGCTTTCTTTAAATAAGATTTTTGGAAAATTTGAAGTATATTATTTTAATGTTTAGAAATTTACGAGAGCTTTTGTTGTTAATTATTAAAAACAAAATATTATAATAAAATTTATTTATATTATTATTTGATATTCCCTTCGTCGTGTTATATTTACTGTAGACATTAAAATTTAAGAGAGATATAATTAGTAAATAATTAAGAATGTATTGGTGAAAATAATTATAGTATAATAAAAATAATTTTAAATTAAAATTAAAATAAATAATTAGTATAATTAAAATTAAAAAAAATAAAAATTTTAAAATAAAATTAAAAGATATAATTCCAAAAGAAAAGTGACAGAATAAATGGACAAAGTATTATGTTAGCAAAAATTTTATTTTATTAAAAATTGTGAATACTTATAACAAAGTTTATATTATTTGTGTTATGATATTTATACTATTTGTGTTAGATTTTTCATTTATTTTGATTATTACACACTAATATTTATATTTTATATATAATAAAATAGTAAAATATTCTTTCCATTTTTTTTAATATTTTTTCAAAAATATTAATATATTATACATATTTATTATTTTTATATTTTTTTCACAATTTTTTATACTTTACATAAAAAATATCACTTTAAACCATTTTCACAAAACAAACCCTAACTCCATATATATAAATTGTACAGTTAATATATATATATATTTAAAATGCAAATCAGACAAACCGCAACGGTCAAATATTAATTAGCTAAATTAATACGATATTATCTGCATGTTCGATCAGAATTAATGTTGTTGGGCTTCATATCACTACTTCTCACCGTCGGGACATCATACATTGCCAAAATATGTGTGTCCGAAGAGCTTGGGAACAAATGGCTACCGTGCGAAAAACACAAAAATAAAGAGTCGGGCGATAAGAAAAGCACTAGCCGTGTGTTGGCCGGAGCCGATCAATATGACTATTGCACTATTCAAGTGAGCCAATTTCGATACTTTTTTTTCCTCATTCTCAATTCGTAAAGAAATTAGATTTGATTTAATTAATTGTTACGATTTGAAGTCAAATTGAACATATATATATTTCGATTTAATCTTCTCAACAATTTTAATTTTGGATTCAATTAAATTAACATTCTATATAAGTGTGTGTGACTGTAGGGAAAAGTATCACTGATATCTTACTCGGGCGTTCATCAGTTGCACATCTTCATATTTGTATTGGCAGCCTTGCACGTGCTGTACAGTGTTCTTCTCATGGCTTTAGGTCATGCCAAAGTAAGTCTTCCTTAATTAGAAATATGAATACGATAAGTGTGACAGAATTAATATTTTTTTTTTAAAAAAAATATTACACTCAATATCTATTTTTTTTTACAAAATATAATATCAAATACCTATTTTTTATTTTTATTTTTAAATTTTCAAAACTCTAAAATACTTCTATCTAAATAGAATTTAAATTTTCCAAAAAATATCACATTGAATAATCAATTTTCTACAATTTAAAAAAAAATAAAAATCAAACTTTCAAAATCTAAAAAATCTCTATTCGGCACTTTAAGCACCTATATGATGATGCTTTTAATTATATTTTTGTATTATTCGTCAATATACTTTTTTAAAACATCACATTAAATATTTATTTTTATTTAAAGTATTACACATACATTTTTAACTAAAAAAAAAATATATTTAACATCTATTTATACCACATTAACTATATATTTTACTATATATATTACCATTTCTAAATCAATCCAAAATATTAAAATACAGTCAAAAATATATATATATATATATATATTTTTTCTATTCTATATTGTGTAAAATATATTATTTTATCATATAAGTTTACCTTCAAATGATTATTCAAAATTTAAATATATATATATATATAAAAATATATATATTTGAATGAGACGAAATAAATAAATTATATTGATAATGTGAATGATCAGATGAAGAAGTGGAAGGCATGGGAATCAGAAACATCCTCCTTGGAATATCAATTCACAAATGGTAAATTCTCCCTCCATTTGCAGCTTTTGAATTATATTTTTATTTTTCATATAATTTTTTCTTACAAAAGAACTACTCCCTCCGTTCTAAAGGTATAGTCTTATTGTGTTGGGTATAAAATTTAAGGAATATTGATATTATATTGGTAATTGGTAAAAATTAAGGATATAAAGACCTTTTTGTCCTTGTGAGTATATTAGTGTAAAAAGTAGTGACAATTGTATAATAATAATGAAAAGGTAGGGATAGTTTTACAGCGATATAGTTACTTATGAAAATGAGACTATTGTTTTGGGACGGACAAAAATGATAAACAAAACTATTGTATTGAGACGGAGGGAGTATTACATTAAATTATTTTTTTCTTTTGCCAAATTTATTTTATTTATGTAAAAGTTTATTTTTAATATAAGTTCGTAAAATATTTTATGCAAAACTTTTATATAATTTATTATCTTATCAATTGATAAATATATGTGTATATTGTTTTAATTCATACACATTGAATTATGTAATGAATTTTATATATGATAGTATTTTTTTTTGGATCGGATATATGATAGTAGTATTTTAGAATGTGATTTATGTGTCTTTTGAAGGTTTTAAAGTGTTCTTTTTAAAATATAAAAATAAAAAAATAAAAACGAAATTTTAAATCGTGATATTTTAAATAAGTCTTAAATATATCTAAAATGAAATATAAATTTTTTTGTATTTTGTAGATTTTATCCAGTAAAAGAATTGTTAGATATATTATATTACTCTGTTATCCAATTATGTGTTCAATCTCTTGTAAAATACAAAAAGAAAGGACACATTTTTATAACGAGAGGAGTATATTATATAAAAAATAAATAAATATTTTTCATCAACTCACAAAATATACGTATTTTTTTATATTGGATTATTCAATTACAAAATAATTATTTAAAAAATATATATTTTTTTCACAAATACTCATGTTTTACCGTCACATCATTATTTTTATACAAAAAAATTAAGGGTAAAATTATTTTTACATTATTTTTAACTATCTACTAAACTTAAAATACTATTATTTTTTAAACTTCGTACCTAAAGTAAATATTTACTTATAAATTGGACGGAGTGAATATTTTTTTATAGAAATCGTAATGTAAGTGAATTATTTTTTATACATTGGTCCTCTGGGCCGGAGATGCGCACGTGGAACCCACTTGGTATGTCGGAGCACACGTGTTCGTCAAGTAAACACAAAAAAAAAAAAAAAATTACTTATAGAACTAAAATGATAAAAAAAATCAATTACAATACTAAAAAAATTTCACATGTCCGCTGAGTGACGTTTACCTAACGGAAACATGTGCTCCGATATGCCAGACGGGTACCATATGCACATTTTTTTTACGTTGGAGAACTAATTATGCAAAAAAAACATACTTACGGAACAATTTCTGTCCAGAGTTCAATTAAGACAAAAATAATAAGGGGTCTTACATGACTAAAAGAATAGTACACCCTCCGTCCCATAACAAAGTATCCATTTTTCCATTTTAGTCCGTCTCATAACAAAATATCAATTTTTTTATTTTAGTAATTGTACTATCTAATTAACATTACAAACACCCTTACAACTTACAATATATTACACAAATACCATTACTTTTATATCACACCGTACTAATAAGGTTATTTTAGACATTTATACTTTATTCCTACTAAATTTCCAATATAGTATACTAATATTTCTAAAATTACGTGAAAAAAATAAAAGAATACCTAATTATGGGACATATGGAGTATATATATATATATATATATAATAAAATGAACTAATATTATTGAAATTATTGCAGATCCAGCAAGGTTTAGATTTACACACCAAACCTCCTTTGTAAGGCGTCATGCAGCAGCCTATAGATTTCCTGGCTTCAAATGGATTGTAATAAATCTTCTTTCTTCTTTCGTTTTTCCTTTTATTATTATTAAATAAAATATAATTCCAGTCTGGAATTATTTATTATTATTATTATTATTATTTTATATGAGACTGGAATTATATTTTATTTATTTATTTATTATTATTATTATTATTATTTTATATGAGACTGGAATTATATTATATTTAATAATAATATTATTATTATTATTATTATTATTTATTTAAAGTGTGTTGAAAATTGTTTATATAACTATTTCGACTTTGTCGTTTTAGTCCTTCTATACTAATGTAACATATACATTGACAGAAGTTTACATCATAAATTATCGTTATCAAAATATTAAAACGACAATTTTTTTAACAATAAAACAATTTATATACAAGACTAAAATGTCCGTTTTTCTTAATTTTATTATATAAATACATACAATTTATATATATATATAAATATATTATTTCGTCGATCTCAGGTCGCATTTTTCAGACAGTTTTTTGGATCGATATCTAAGGTTGATTATATGACCATTCGCCGTGGCTTTATCAATGTAAGTTTATCTTCGATTTTAAAATATATTATTTGATGAAAAAAGAATTTTATCACCTTATTTATTATATATATATATATTATAAATAATTTTCGATTCATTTGCAGGCACATTTTGCACCGAATTCAAAATTCGATTTTCATAAATACATAAAAAGATCGATGCAAGACGACTACAAATCCGTACTAGGAATAAGGTTTGTATAATTTATTTTATTTTAAAAAATAAGAAAAATGTAACATATAGAAAATTTAATTACATGTAAATTTTATTAATTAACTTTGTGTTATTTGCAGTATTCCTTTGTGGCTGTTTGCTATAATGTTTTTATTCCTCAACATATACAGTAAGTACTTATATATATACTCCCTCCGTCCCACATAATTTGTCCATATTTTTTATTTTCGTTCGTTCCACATAACTTGTCTTTTTTATTTTTTGAAATATAATTATGCACTTTAATAGCATTTTAAATTTTATAATTTTCTTAATTTTAATTAAATTATTTACTTATCGTAATCTTAATCTATAATTATTTTTATTAATACACTTGTTAATTACTTACTAATTATACTTTACCTAAATTCCCGTGTCTACACTAATACATCCATATTACATGGGAGGGAGGGAGTAATTATTTTGTTCTATATTTTTTACACTTTAATTGCATAATTGTTTAAATGTTAATAGGATTTTTATTTTTTATTTTTAATTAATTGTACAGAATGGCATACACTTACTTGGATTTCACTCGTTCCACTTTTGGTAAGTCCATAAATGTTAATGTTTTTTTTAAAGGTTTTTTTTTTTTAAGGAAAAATGGAAAATTTGGACATGATATTTTATTAAATAAAGTATTACGTTTTTATAATGAATCGTCATATTGAAAAAATTAAAATAAAACTTCAATGATTGTCCCTTTATTAGAGTTTGATTTTATTTTTTTACTATATAATTGTCATGTTTTTTTGTAAAAATATATTATTATTATTATTTTTTTAAAATACCATATTTAAATTACTATTCAACTAAAAATTAATGATGATGATATTTTGGTAATAATATATAAGTTATAAGATTTTTTATTAAGTTATATGAAGTACAATCATTAAAAATAATAACTAGATTGATTCATTGTAGTTTGGTTGAAATACATGAAATTTTAATTATATACTACTTCTGGCGTAAAAAAAAAAAAAAAAAAAGAGTAAAGAAAAATGATATTTTTTTTTACTAAAAAATAAAATAAAAATAAAAATTTCGATAACAACCAAAAAAAGAAAATAAAAATACATTTGAACAACAAATGGAGTAATAAATTCTATGGATGTAAAGATTTTATACAGATCAGTTATAAGAATACTCTCTTTAGAAGAGGAAAAAAAATAAATCTCACGCCGAAATATATAAGTCGTAGAAATATTAATTACATATGTATGAATTTTGGCATTATTGTGTTAGAGACTAAAGAGTAGCATCGAACTAGTTAGGATACCGATTTTCGGATAATTTGATGCAAATTTGCTATCGGTAGGTACTTGTAATTGTGGGGACGAAACTCGAACTTGTGATCATGGAAATGGCACAACAGATTCAAGATCGGACAACCGTTGTTAGCGGGGCTCCGGTGGTGGAGCCGAGCAATAGCTTCTTTTGGTTTAATAAACCGCAGTGGATTCTATTTCTCATACACTTTACTCTGTTTCAAGTAAGTATATTTCGATTTGTTTATTTTGTATTTTGACTTTGAAATGTTTTGAAATATTTAAATTTTAATTTGAATATTCAAATTTTGCCTTCTAGAATTATAATACAATTTATAAAATCATAACCGAAAATAAAAAATAAAAACAAAATAGTACGAAAAAAGTACGAAACTTTTACTAAACAAAACTAGCAAATAGATTGAGATGAATATAGTATTTTAGTATTTTATTTTGGCGGGAAGTATAAATAAGTTTGTTTGGTCGTATTTTTGTATATTCTGATATATTTCTTAAATAATTATAATCAGTCATAATTAACACATGAAAATAGAAATTGACAATACATATTATATAAATTATAGGCATGTGATGTAGTGTTAATATATTTCAATTGTAAGTATATAATGTATAAATCATTATCCTTTGCTATTAGCTTATGTGTTATATATGCATTATATAAAAATATATTTTATATTTTTAGTTTAATAATTTATTCCTCACATATTTTCGAAATATTTACCGTGTAGTATCAACATTATATTGAATATAAATTAGTTCGCACAACTATCAAATACTAAAATACGGCCAATTAATTAATTAGTTTATGTGTTATATATGCATTATATAAAAGAATATTTTATATTTTTAGTTTAATAATTTATACCTCGCATGTTTTCGAAATATTTGTTGTGTAGTGTCAGCATTGTATTGAATATAAATTAGTTTGCACAACTATCAAATACCAAAACACGGCCAATTAATTAGTAAATAATTAAAAAAATATTTAATAAGTTGGATTATACTGTAAAATTATATAATTTTCATTTAGTTCCTGTGTTAATTAATTTAAACAATCTAATTATTTGCCCATTTTTGTGACAGAAATCATGCATGGTTTTGATTTATTTATTTATTTATTTTTTTTCTCCCTGCAGAATGCATTTCAAATGGCATATTTCTTATGGAAATGGGTAAGTATCTATTATTATTATTATTATATATGAAATATTTTTATATATTTATATTTATTTACATAAATGAAAAATAATTTTTAGTATGATATTAATAAGTATTTGATGTAACTATTTGAATAAATAATAATTTTAATAATAAAAAGTATATTAATAAAATAATATATTTTCAATTTCAAACTCCCTTCTAATTCTTATTTATTTATTTATTTTGTGTAGTATGAGTTTGGAATAACAACCTGCTTCCACGAGAAACTTTTCGCAATTTTAATAAGAATCTTTCTCGGCGTCGCTCTCCAAATATTGTGCAGCTACAATACATATCCATTATATACTTTGGTAACGCAGGTAAAATTCAATATGTGCATTATACTCCTCCCGTCCCATAAAAAGTATGGGAAAAAGACTTTTTTGCTCTTATGAATGTATTAGTGTAAAAAGTAGTGACAATTGTGTAATAATAATGAAAAAGTAAGGATATTTTTACAGTAATATAATTATTTATGGAAATAAGACTATTGTTTTGAGATAGACAAAAATAGTAAATAGGACTGTTGTAGTGGGACGGAGGGAGTATTATTTTTTTTATCAATACTTTTTATATTATTATTATTTAACACTTTGCATTTATATTTTTTCTTATATATATATTTGCATTGATTACTTAGATGGGTTCAAATATGAAGAAATCAATATTCGAAGAACAAACCGCAAAAGCTCTGAGAAAATGGCATCAAACGGCAAAACAAAGGAAAAAAACACAAAAAGCCGGAGATAATTCACGAGGAATCGACGCTTCAAATGCTTCGTATATGAGTGGAGAGACTACGCCATCTCAAGGCTTTTCTCCGATTCATCTCCTTCATAAATACCGAACAAGAGCAACAGATAGCGAAAGTTTGCCCGCGTCTCCGAAATCGTATATTTCAGACACCGAATTGTCAGATCTCGAAGCCTCGAATCACGGCAAACGAGAAACGACGATTATGTCGAACGAAGAAGAGAAAGAGAATGATCATCCGTATACTACTAATTTTTCATTTAAAAATTCTGTAAATAATTTATAAGCATCTAAATATTTACTTAAATAGTGATATTATTAGTTAGGCAAATGAATGTAATTTATTACTCCCGAGAATTTAGGATAAGTATAATTAGTAGATTATTAATAATGTATTAGTGAAAATAATTATCATATAATATAAATAATTATAAATTAAAATTAATATAACTCATTAATTTAATTAAAATTAAAAAATAGTGTGCAATTATTTTTCAAAAAAAAAAAGTGACATATGATATGTGACTGACAGAAACGGCAACGTGGATATGGTAAGTGGGACGGAGGGAGTATTAAGCTTGTCACTAAAAAAATTGAAGATAAAAAAATTAGATTATACTTCATCCGTACCATTTAATTTGTCTCATATAATTTATTTTTTTTAGAAATATAATTATACACTTTAATCATATTTTAAAATTTATAATGTATATATTTTTAATTTTAATTAAATTTTTTAGTTATCTTAATTTTAATCTATAATTATCTACTAATACACAATACCTAAAACTCTATATTTAAACTAAATAACACAACTTAGCTGGGACGGAGGGAATAACAAATCATGATATAATATATATTGATCATATTTGTATGTTTGTTCGCATGTTTGAATTTTGAACAAAAAAAAAAAAATTGAATTTAAATAATTGTATTATACTATATAAATAAATATTGATTTTATATATTGAATTTAATTTAAAGCTAAATTTTAATATTATTAAAAAAATATAAAAATAAATATTTTATTTAATACTTTTGAAAAAAACTTATAAACAATAAAAATATTTAAAAAACTCTTTATATTATATAAAATTTTATTATATACAAAATAATATTCATATTTTATATATTTTAATAAAATATATAGCTAAAATGTTTAAAACATATCTAATTCTTTTAGTCAGATATATCAATTTATATATTTAAAATACCAATAATCTCAATAATAATAATAATAATAATAATAATAATAAATATAGTCCGTAAAAAATTGTGTGGGATATTGTCATAGTGAAGTAATTGATTTATTATGGGTGTGTTCTTTGAGCGGATTTTTCCATGTATTTTACTATTCAATAATTTTTTTTACTATTATTAAATTAAATATTTATTTTTTATTTTTATATTATATTCCTTCCGTTTCAACACAATAGTCTTTATTTATCATTTTTATTCATTCTAAAACAATAGTATCATTTTCATAAATAATCATATCACTATAAAATTACATTTACTTTTTTATTATTATTACACAATTGCCACTATTTTTTACACTAATACATTTACAAGAATAAAAAAGTTTTTACTCATATTTTTAATTTACTACAAATATAATATTAATATTCCTTAAATTTCGTGCCAAACACACGGACGGAGTATTAAAAAGTAATTTCATATTAAAAATATAATATCAATGTCTATTTATATACATATCACATCACTATTTCAATTCAAAAATTTTATTATTGAAATTCCAATTCAAAATTTAAATCACCGAATAAACACCCAATATGGATTAAAATTACGAGAAAAATTTATTTTTGATCTCATTCAATATCATTATCAATTGTGGTCATATTCAAATTTTTTTATCAATTTTGCTCACATTCAAATAAAAACTTATTAATTTTAGTCCCAAGATGGTTGAAGGGACAAAACACGGCCTTATTGGATGACTCAGAAGGTGACTAAGCGTCCTAGGCAGTCAACGCGGCCTTGTTGATTATCATGCACTTCTCAATACGGCCGTGTTCCCGTGTTCTGAACATAGGCATATTTTTGTCCATGTTTTTATTCATTTATGTTCTCAACATAATTCATGTTCACACCCTGTTTTCAATACAATCCATGTTCGCGATCATGTTTACAATATAATTATATTTATATTGTAGGTCATGTTTATTATTATTTTTATTTTTTAGTTAAAATTATTTAATATATATTTATAATTTTAAAAAAAAATATTTTTTATAGTATAAAAAATAATTAATTTTTAATAAATCTATCAAATGAAGATTTATCGATTTATAATATTTTTAAAAAATATTGTTATTTCTATTTTCCTTTCTCCGCAACAAATGACGGTGGAAACCAAGCACTGCCGCGGTCATTGAAGGACTGTATCACCGGATCGTGCGCGCCGCCGGAATGGTTTTTGTGGAATAGGAGGGGAAGGATTGCGAATGAACGAGAGAAAACAGGGAAGATTAGGGTAAGATTGAGACGCCAGTAAAATCATTCACTCAAAACCTTTTCTGACAATTGTAAATCCTCCTTCCTTCCACGGCGGCCGGCGGTCGAGAATTTCAAATTGAGCAACGCCGCCGGAATCCAAGGGAGCACAATTTTATGCTTGCGGCAATGGATTTTTCTGGTGTGGAATCGAGTCTGGGGAATCGTACGGGGACCATGGGTGAGATATGAGATTAGCGCAATCCCTAATTTTTTTTTTCGAAGTTGAAATTTAGGGGGAAAAAAAAAATGTCTGTATTCCGCTCAGTTGTTCGACGCCATTGCTATTGCTCTGTAGTTGCAGTCAGAATCCGTAATTTCAGCGCCAATTCCTCTTCAGCAGCTGAGAATTTCCTAACGCATTTGCAGGAAGGCGCCGCGCAGATCGAGAAGAATCTCGACACGGTGAAGACGAAGCTGGATGCTCGATGCGTAGCTCAAGTTCTAGAAAGGTGCGCAATCGATAAACCTCAATTAGGGTTACGATTCTTCGTTTGGGCTGCCCTTCGCCCCACCCACAGGCACACATCATTCATGTACGAAAAAGCTTGTAAATCATTGGGGATTGATCGAAACCCTAGAATTATAATAGATGTGATGGATAAATACAGGGATGAAGGCTTAGCTGTTAGTCTTAAGATGCTTAAGGTAGTTTTAAATCTCTGTAAATCAGCTAAGGATGATAATTTAGGGATGCTGGTTTTGAGGAAGATGAAGGAGTTCAATTGCAGGCCTGATACAGTTTCTTACAATGTCGTGATTCGATTGCTCGTCGAAAAGGGTCGAATGGATGAAGCCATGGCATTAATGACTGAGATGGGGTTGATCGATCTTTATCCCGATATGATCACGTATGTTTCGATTATTAAAGGGTTGTGTGATGCCGGTAGGTTGAAGGATTCGGTGTCGTTGATTAGGGATATGAAAATGCAAGGATGCCCGCCGAATTCAGTCGTCTATTCCTCGCTTCTCGATGGAATTTGTCGACACAAAAGTTTGGAAACGGCGTTGGAGTTCTTGGACACGATGGAGAAAGAGAATGGATCGTGTAAACCAAACGTTGTGACATACACGACTATGATAAAAGGGTTTGTCGAAAAGGGGAGGGCGTCGGAGGCGGTGACGATTTTGGATAAAATGTATGATTCGGGGCATAAACCAAATCGAGTGGCGTTTGTATCTTTGCTCGATGGGCTTTGTCGAGAAGATCGTTTAGACGAAGCGCGTAGGGTCGTCGATAAGTATGGCGGAGGGGAATTTCCGTACGACGATTTGTATAGTTTGCTCGTCGTCTCGGTTTTGCGTAGCGGGAATCCGAAGGAGTCGGAGAGTATGATTAGATCGATGATTGCTCGCGGATTGAGACCGAGCGGTTTGGCGTCGAGCCATGTTGTTAGAAATTTGGTTTCGGAGGGACGGGTTGTCGATGCGTTTTCTTTGTTAGATGCCCTTGAGAAGTCGGGGAATTTGGCGCACGTCGATGGTGGCGTTTACTCGACTCTTTTGGCGGAGCTTTGCCGGAAAAATAATTTTGCCGATGCGGAGAAGGTTGTTGGTGTTATGGTTGAGGGAAGAATTTTCGTCAAGTCTTGTCTTGCCGCGAGTATAATCGAACACCTCGACAGCTCCGGCGAATGCGATTTGGCTTCGGAAGTTTCGAAGATTGTTAGATAAAAAAGCCTTCTTTTTATCGAAATGTTCTCTAAAACGATCGTCGATAGTTTATTCGGTTGTAGTTGGACGTATTTCTAACATTTTTATGCCGTTAAAGAAAATAAGAAGGTGAGCAATTTTTTGCTCATGTTGGTGCTACTTATTACGAATTTTGGTCATCACAGTTTTAACATCACATTGTATGCTAATGAATAACCCGCAAAGGATAACGAATAACCCGCAAAGATGAGCCGGTGGTGTGATGGTTAAACATGTGACTGTGGGGTTATGTGTTTAAATTCCGATGTCGATTTCCGCACTTTTTGAGTAGCGGAGGACCGGGGGTATTAGATTCGATCTAGTTACTTAAGTAAGTAGTTAATTTAAATTTAAATTAAAATCAATTAAAAAAAATTATTACAAAATAAAAGATAATGAAATAAGAAAATATTAATAATTATTAATTTTATTAATAACAATAAATATAGGGTGGTGAAATCCGGTTAAGGTTTATTTTTTTATATTAATTTTTGAATGTTAATTAATATATTAAAATAAAAGTAAATAAATAAATAAAAGAGGCAAACATGTTTCCATATAATAAATAAAAACTGAAGCAACTCTATTTGCCCTAATCGGCAGTATACGCATCATAGAATATAGGGATCGAAATTAAACCGTGTGTAAAAATCGATTTACTTTCGCACCGGTTTGAAACTGTCGAACCGGCGGTTCGAAACCGATGGGCAAGTATTTAGTTAAATGCGATATTAGAAAACGCTGTAGCGATTCTCTGGCCGTCTGTTGCTTGTTCTGCCGCGGAAGGCGAGATTCCATTGATTCGACTTCCATATGGTCGTGAGATATAATGGAGAGCTCAGAGAATGGGATTGAATCTACTGATGGAGTTGCAGAAACTGATCAGCATGTACTGGATTTCCTGGATTCCATGGATAGCTATCTAACACTTATGGATTCGTTGTCTTCAGCTCTTCGTCAGGTTAATACAATTTGATTTAGTTAATCCGTATTATTGGCTGTATTTACGTCTGGAAAATATTGACATTCACTCGATTCGTGGTAAACTTGAAGCTTCGATTGGTATGGCGGAATCGAGGTTTCAATTGCGCACACGAATTGATGCAATTTCTGTGGTGACTGAAAATTGGGAATTATTTTGTATAGAAGCGTTGAAATAGTTTATTTAAGCGAAAACAAAGAACTATGGCGCAATTGTTAACTGTGGGATTTTATTTCTTTATTTGTAATAGCTAATGCATAATGATGAATTTTCTTTCCTGCATAAGGTTTTTAGGGGTGAGTTATTCATTTAATGTGAAAGGATAGTTCATAATTTTTTTTCTGAGCAATGATTACAGTAGTATTTTGCTAGGTATCTGATCTAGTTGCTTTTGATTCCTCTATGTATGTGTGGATTGATATAAGATGGATCACAGTGGCTGTGTTTCTGCGGGTTCGGATTGGGAGGATTTGAATTAAATTTTATAGAAACATAGTATTTGTTCTGTTTACACAAAAAATACAAGTAAAGATTTGTATATTCATCGACTTACTGTGTTGAATTGAATTATACAATTCAGCAATGATAAAAACAGACCTACATGATTTATGTTAACATAATACAAACATAGTCCTACACAATACATACTATTGATTTCATAACAAAAAAATATATTCATCGAGCATACCTACAAATATAACGGACAGCACAGACTTTTATTTAACAAAATATAGTCTGCCTGTTTTATATGTGCTGCCACCATAATCATTCCCATATTCATCTCATGATTTGCAGGGATGGTTAGATTTAGCTAGTGCTAGGCATTCAATGGGTGCTTCTCGAGTAAACAGCGCGATGTTCGACCACAAATCTCACCGTGCTTCAACAACATTGCAAGTATCTGAGGGTAATTTCAATCTTCATTTGAAGTTTCAAAGATTCAAAGTATTGTGTAGAATAAAATCTTGTGGTTTAAAATCATTTGATCTTCGAAAATTCACGTTCCTTTATCTAGGAGTAAAGTTTTTCCTTGTTATATAATATGTATAGCCGAGCCCAATACAGAATTCCCACAGTTCACCCTATGCAAATGGGCGGCCTCAAATGATCCCGAAAAGTATTCTGGGGAAGCCAAGTTCGAGGAGGATGAATTGATGCAAATCAAATCTAGCCCCCGAGATCAGCATTCAGGTACATAGCTCTTGTGTAAAAATGATAGATCGATGATTCTATTCTCGGGATTGCTATATGTGCCTTGATCCGCAAAGTTTCCCATTTTCCTTGCAGAAGTTTAAAATCTGTAGTTGTATTAGACATAGTTCTTTCTACCTGATACCATTTGGTAACGATATATTAACATCCAATTTGCTTGCTCGTGGCGAAGAACTTGAGGAGCAGAAGGATGATAGTGTGGGATCACCGGTTACCAGTGATAATCAGGTTAGCAATGATCTCTACTTTGGATTTTTTAATGCATGTTGCAAATATGTATATAAACCTGATGTATGATGTCCACATTATAGGCTAATTTCTAAATTGAGAAATTTAGCAATATATACATTTATTTTGCAAAACTGAATTCGCGTGAGACAAAATCATGTTTCAGTGTTTTCGACACGACTCATGTTTCCTTAAACATGTTTTTTGCAGGCTGAAAAGGAGAGATCAAAGTCACTTTCAATGTTTGGAGCTTTGGTCTCCCCAAAGCTTAGAGCAACACAATTGTCGTTCGAAAAAGGTACCCAAGGCTCCGATCAAACTACATACATCCAAACTTGTGAATATTATTCTACATTTGACTGTTGATTAAAATAACAAAAGATTACTTATATAAAAAAAAAAATACGTTTTAGAAAATATTTCACATCATTTCTCTTTAGTTCACAATAGACAAAAAAGATTTAATAGATTTCAAAGTTCTTACTTGGTAAATCAATTGTGAAATATTTTTCTACAATACCCGATGTCTCTTTTACATGCGGGCAAAAATGTTCAATCTTTTAAGAGACTATGTACAATATGTTTTAAAATATAGGAGAATCTTAAAGCAATTTTTAAGAGATTATGTATAATATCTTTTTAAAACACGAGGGAGCTTGGTTTAGTTTCAAAATCACAAAAGAAATAGTGCAAATTGTGAGTGAGTTATAAGTACTTTAGCCTAAAATAAATTTCTCGATTTGATGATATCGCTATCCCGAATTGATATATTTGACCTGTCATATATGTATGTATACATTCTCATAAATAATGTTTTTTCAGCTCTGGAAACACTTGTAGAGATATCGAATACACGAGCATCTTTGCTGCGTTGCTATGATCAAGTGCAGAAGGATCAGAACGCCAAATAACTTGGATGGTTATTTAATCTCTTCCCTCGTGTCTTTACTTTAATTTATTTGAAATTATTTAGTTGGAGAACTAGCAATCACTTATACATGTTTTGTGCACTTAAATCCTAAATATTAGTTTCAATGGTTTCTCTGTCTTTTGAATAATTACATGCTCAAAACCTGCCAAGTTGTTCTTACCATTGTATCATGTGTGCGCATTTAGTACTGATTATGTCACAATCCTCTCAGAAAATCAGATTTCACAAACCACACATAAATGTCGTGAACATGAATTACAAAGGGAATGAAAACAAACATATTGGAAAAATCTTTACCTCTTAGATCAAAATAGAAAAAATCATGGCCAGGACATGTCTAGTGTCGACGATAATACTTAAATCTTCGTATAGTTACTGAGTGCGACGAACTAGAATCGATTAGACTGTCTTGTTCTCAAGTATGCTATGGAACTGACTGCTTGCGATTGCCGTGCCCATGTATGTATATGTGTGTGTATCTATGTGCCGCTTCTTGTAAAGATTAGGGGCAAGGAAGTGCATACCTAGAAAGAGCTCCATTCTGATCCTTTCTTGGGAGTTTCGGATGTCGTCACCTTAAACGGGCCGCTGCCAAATGGATCAGAGTCATCGAAGGAGAATTTGCGGCTCTGGTCGAAGGCGGTTGTGCTGGTTATGGAATCAAATCTAGCGTGGCTCCCGTGGGGAGGGGAAGAGCTGCGACCTCGTTCGAAGCCAGCTGTGCTGCTTATGGAATCGAACCTGGCATGGCTACCTCGGGGAGGGGAAGAGCTGCGACCCCGTGCACTGAAGGAATCGTACCTTGAGAAACTGTCTGAGAAAGGATCTCTTGGCTCGAAGGTGTATGATGGAGGTGAATTAGCAGCCCTCGATTGTGGGGTTGCAGGAACAGAATCTGCAAAGATGAATTGGCTGTTCTTGTTGAATGTATTCCCTGCGTCAGGGGAGTCGGTTCTGCTAGGACTTGCACCGAAGTCGGTGGAATTGAAGAAGTACTTCTCTTCGCCCTTGGCAATATTGGATTCCTGCAAGGGGAGTCGGAGTGGTTTTTAGATTGTGAATTGTGGACGCTATATGTTCAAAGAGCAAGCTGAACATTTTGATCGGGCGGGTGTAATCAAGAAAGAACGTATTACGATTACTTGCCTTAGCATTGAAGCCCCAGACGGAATCTATGTCATCGTTGTTGTTATCAAAGTTTCCCCAAGCGGATTCATCGAAGCTTCTGCCGAGCAGGAATTGAGAATAGATGAGTAAGCATAGAGAGCATAATTGTAAAGGTAAGGATGCAAATCAAAACCTGTTAGTTTCGGCATCTTCATCAGAGCTTTTCCTGAAATGTTTCCCCGAATATTCTTCAGAAGTGGTTTCTTTATGTGGACTTCCTTGTGGACTCTTATTTTCATCGGCACTGTACATGGATTCTGTTTCTAAAGCACCAGATACCGTGCTGAAGGGCTTATCAGAACTTGTGTCCGCATCTGAAACAGCCTCCGGAGAAAGGCTAGGGGACGAAAGATCCCTCTGAGCGGACACCGGCTTTCCATTTGCAGGAACAGCAGTGTCAAATGAAAACCCTAGTTAACAAGGAAACACATCATCATATTTCTGCAGGCTAAGGAAAATCAGTTAAATGACAGATATGAAGATTTTGAGAGATCAGGTAATCAGTAAGATATGTCAAACCTTCATCGTCAAACTTGTCCCACTCTTCGTCCCATATTGCTGCAACCTCCGGGATCCCAGGTGACCAACCTAAGAAATAAGAACATCAGATGTCGCTAATATGAAGGATGAAGGATCGTCGTCTATGCAGAATATTTTGTTCTCCCTCTCTCTACACAATGCCTTTAATTTAGCATGACAAAATTTTGGTCCAGTATATTAGTAGTACAGCAGCTAGAAGTATATAGCATAGTACATAATAGTTTTCATAGCAACCAAGTCAAATTGGGTCATGAAAATGATTATCAGAGGCTCGTACAGCTACAGAGACGATAACTGAAGAGTTAGAATAATGAATTCTTCCGTTTACGCATAGGGGCAACGGATGTAGCAATGTAACAAAAGGGGTCTAACTATGTTAGATCATATGCGTAAGTTGAATTAGACACTGTATTGATGAAGCTAAGAACGTAAAGCTGAATTGTACGAATAAGAAGGGGAAAAAAGATTGAAGCATGAACACTAGGCGCAAATTAAAGTATTACCCAGGGGGAGCTCAATCAGTGTTGATGGCTTGATCTCTATAGAGTGTTTGCTGAGACGATTAGTTAATGCCTTTAGTAGTTCCTCAAGATCTGACTGTATACGGTCAGCACGAACCTAGAAAACGAGGAATTCATTAGAACCTAAATGCGTCTAATTGCAACATTACAGGTGCAAATAATGACCTGAAGGATGCCATCTGCACTTCCACCTTGCTCTATTCTAGTCAGGGCTTGACGGAGCTCCATCTTCCTTTCCTATAAATGAGACAAACAGTAACCCGAATAACTAACATGGTGTCTGGAATGTAGATGTTGGACTTGGGAGGAAATAGGACATTGTTGAGAAAGGAAAATGCATATAGAAGAACAGAGTGCAAACAATCCACCGAATCACATGTTTGGAATAACATGCTTGTCGCAGTAAAATGACAATGTGGGAAGAGGGGAGGGAAAAAAAAAAACTTATTCCCCGTCTCTCTTAAATATGAAACTTTTGGACCTCATCAAGAAACATCAGACAAAATGGCCAATGGTATCGTCATACACAATAGATGTGATTAAAACTGTTATCCATCACTAATATGCATAGTCATTATCATTACGAAATTATTCTTCATTATTTACTCTACTCCATAATATGCGTATACCTGATGAAGTCCAAGGTCTACATGGGGATTTCTATAATGCAAATATCAAATAACCATCAGCTAGCGAACAATTTGTTTAGATGTCACTACCTTATAATTTATTTTCAATCTACACTATTTTAAGACGAGGACAAAGTAGTTTGCGAAAGTGATGTCAGATGTGATCGCTAGTTTACAAAGGTGGAATGAAGTAGCTTGCTTTTAGGGATAGTCATTTAGAAACGAACTAGAATTAAGGCAGAGGAATAGATTGATCAATATTAATGAATTGAGGCAAGAATGTGATAATAGCAGAGGTGAAGAATGAAACTGCAGGGATTTAAAATGAGTCGGCTATATCAATTAAGTTCCCTAATTGCTTGGCCACAAAAGAGAAAAGTTGAAAGAAGTTTGACATTTCCTAAAGATTGTCAGCGTTTCAAAGGAGCCAATGAGTAAATAAATATACCTGAACTTCTCGGAAGGAGGCCTCTTCAATAGTTAATTTAGTATGAATCTCGGCTACCTGCTTGTACTTCTCTTGGTACTTCTTTTCCAGTAATTCAGCCTGGAAATGAAGCGATAACAATTTTGAGTTAGAGTCAAAATACCGATTGATACAAAGAACAATGTGAGGTACGACTGAGGAGGCTCTCTCTTTTTTAAAAGCATACCTCAGTCTTGTCAGCCCTGGCCCTCTCTGTAATTTCATTTAGCCTATTTTCGCATCTACTTTTGTATAATACCTGAAACAAAGGATTAATTGTGTAAAGGCTTGAAATTGCAACCATGCAAGATCAATCATGGAGTATAGACCACCTTCAAACTGACAAATAAAAAACTATGGAAATTAAGAAAAATGCATGGTGCAGTAACTTACAAGGTCTTGCATTTTTGTCCTGTAGAATTCAAGTTTCTCCCTAGAATCCAAAAGCACCTTCTCGTTGTTTTCAACCTATAGCATTCATCAAATTAATAGAAATACAGAAATCGGAGGAACCATTAAACTCATTCTGCAGCAAAGTAAAATTTATAATGCTGAATTTCCAGAGATGAAAAAGGACAATATTTGTACATCTAATGGAAGTTTAATGGGAAAACTTATTTTATATGATGATGATCCAAGGTCCTATTGCATCAATCAATAATTATGTTAAACTTATTCTTCTCTGTCTGGGGAATATAAGATTATATCACTTTTTACCCATTGAGGAAGGCAGTAATTCTACATCAATAGTGAAGAAGAAATCCAATGGGATTGCGAGGCATGATCAACCATTAAATTCACACTCAAAGCAGATATTGCAGTTCCATGTAATTCACACTCAAATTATATATATTTATATATATATATATATGTGTGTGTATAAATATATTATAGGGAGGCTGCTACCTTTTCATTGGTTTCTATTGCCCCATGACCTTTGACATCCAAAGAATGATCCTCCCCAACATCACGGCTTCTGGCATTTTGCTGACTGAATTGCATTGATCCATCAGCATGTGAACCTGTTGGATGCACAGGAGGCCTTAAGCCAGCAGGTGAAAAGGGCCGTGCACCAGGCAATCCTTGCTGTGGTGGTCTGAAGCCTAAAATGCCAAGAGAATAAGCATTATTTAACGGCATTGAGAGAAACGCTAAAACATTTTCGGTGAGTCAAAACAATACCAGTAGTGTGACCCCATCCCATACTTCCATAGCCAACGGGCGGACCTGCTAGAGATAATAAAGTCTCATCATGCATAACACTATTGGGAAGCGAAGATGGAAGCGACCGCCCTTCCCTGTATTGCTCCATTAAATAAAGTGCAATGCAGAATTCCCTCAAGGATAGCATGCTATCACTGTCTTGGTCCGATAAATCCCAAACCTGCTTTAACACCTCTGGAATAATCGCATGAAAATGTTGAATTCAGCAAGATGTTATCCCAAGATTCTACAGTATCTAACAAATTAATCATTTAAAAATTATGGCAATATTACATGTCAGTCATCATGTTGTTCCAGGTTGTGTTTTAAGTGGAAAACATATAAATACCAGGAGCAAAAATGCAAGTAGGGATAATATGTTGTACCTATGGGCAGCCTCCAGCTCAAAAATAGGTTTCGCGCCTGCTCACCAGTGATTTTCCCATCTCTATCAGTGTCGACTTCCATAAAGACTTTCGTGTACTTTTGTATGCTAGCGCGCGTTAATTTTGGCCACGAAGTTTGAGATTGTTCTGGTATTGAACTTCCAACACTGGATGGGCTATTAGATGAAGAGAGTTGGGGTTTAACCTGAGTTTGGACCTGTTGATTAGATCCCAGAAAAGAGGATGTCTGCGGAACCTGAACCACTGTAGAAGGTTTTGCAACAGTTTTTTGAAGAACTTCAAATGGATCAGGTTTAGCCGAAGACAAGGGTGCAGAAGATTCGGGCTGAGATTGAAATTGATTGGCAGATAACATGTTCCCTCCAAACACTGAATCAGAAGTAGACCTTTGTACCGAACCAACTGATACTTTAGGATCCTGCGAAGCAGCTGAGGAAAAACTTGAAAGCTGATCTAGGGGATTTTGAGCAACTGGTGCAGTGGTAGCTGCACTAGTATCATTCTTGAAGTTGGGAGGACCAGAACCCAACCTGCTATCTCCACTAGGAGCAATCAAACCACCATCAGCCTGGGGTGGACGTGGAGCCGGGCCAGGGTAAGGTGGCCTCACCAATTGGTTACCTTGAGAGGGGATGGATTGCTGGTTCATGTTTGCACCTAGAGGTACCTGTCCAAAATGCTGGTGCGTATTTGTACTCGAAGTTTGTATCTGTCCAAAATTTGAATTCATACTTGTGCTTGAAGGTTGGATCTGCCCAAACTGGTGGCCCTGACTCTGGACTGGTCTAAACTGCTGGTACATGCCGGTACTTGAAGTTTGTAACTGTCCAAACTGCTGGTTCATACCTGCACTACTTAAGGGCTGGCCCTGGCTAAACTGCTGATTCATTCCTGGACTGGAAATTGGTGGTCTGAACTGTTGGCTGGTGTTCATACTTGCCGGAGACTGCCCTCTGAAGCCCATAGCTTGAGAAGATGGCAGGGAAGTTCTCATCTGTGGTGAAGGTGCAGCAGCTACTGAATTTGGTTGTGGAGTAGGTAAGACTGCAAAATTTATCTGCGGGGGTGGAATTTTTGCTGAAGCAGGACCATATAATGCCCCCTTAACAATTTCTGGTGTCAATTGCATCTTTCTTTGAGCTACTGTTACCAGCTTGAGGGCATTGTGAAATGCTGGACGACTGAGAAAGCCGCTTTGGTTTTGGTCAGCATATGCCCATATCTGCGGCAAAGTTAACAGTTTGATAAATGTCTACAACAGTTCCAAATGACCCATCGCCATCAAGCAAGAAAAAAGAACGAAAGTGGTGACAATGATTTCATGATTCCTTGTTAAGCTTAAGGCAAATTACCTCAATCAGAAGACAGTAAGTAAAGGAGAATAAAACACACAATTGAGCTTGTCAGGTTGCAGAAAGAAACGAAACATTAGAAGCACTAAACCCGATATCCTGCTGCCATTCAATGGCGGAGGTAGGTCAAATATCTATTACAAGACATGGCTACAGAGTTTAACAATAGACCCTGTCTCTCGAGGAAACTGTCCGAGAGATGACTGCCATTGGTCTAAAAATTAGATAAATAAGACTATGGCCGCAAACATGAAAACGATGTACCATTACCAAAGCATACAACATGCCCAATCCCGAAGCAATACGAAGTTTTGGGAAGAAACTAACAGTAAGCAAATATTACAAAAAGTGACAGTTTACCAATCTTGACTAACCTCAATGGATAGTCAAGCAAAATGGTTTCTATCAGCCATGGTCATCTATATCCCTAAATCCTCTCTTAACCAAAATCTTCATCCTAATTCCTAACCAAATCAATTCAATCCTTCTATAAAGCAAAACACTAACAAAATTCTTTAGAAGTTCCAATAATTACTTGAACCCTAAATCAAACATGAATCCAATACCATAGAACAAATCTTCACAACAGAAGAGCAAACCTACGCACATAAGCTACTGAAATTCAACTCAATCGTAATTCGTAAGTGCGCACAACCTAATTTCAATCAACACGAAAGAGGAACACGAAACTTTCACAAGCTCAATAACTAATTTCAACCTGAGCGAGGACTTGTTGAGGTAGATTAGCTCCCTTGAAAAAAGCAACCGCCTCAGCACCACTGATCCTGCCATCCCGATCCAAATCGGCTCTTTGAAAATAAGCATCAAATTGCTCCGTACTCGGTCCTCCTGTAGCCGCCATTAGTGCCTCCTTTCCGTTCGAGCATCCACCGTCACATTACTTCACCGAAGCTGCGCCGGAGATTTCAGGTTTTTGAACTCTTCGATACGAAATTCACACCGAAAATTTTAACAAACAGCTCGTGCGAAGCTGGGGGAGAGATTGAACTGTGAACCGATTTTGTGGAGTTAGATCGGATTTTGCTTCGGAATTGAATCTCCGTTTTCTCCCAATCAATCAAACAAACAAACGAGAATGTCGTCCGCTGACTGTGTGCACTGTTCTCTTCTCTGTGGAAAACATCGGAAACTGAAGGAAGGTTTTTTCTGCAATTTGGTCCCTCGTCTTTTGACAAATTGTGAATTAATTCAGAAGTGAATATTATTTGGATTTTCATCCCTTATTTAATTTGGTCCCTATCTTCGTGACATAAATAGCTTTTATTTTTATTAAATATATTAATAAAAATATTTTATATTTGCATAAATATATATATATAAAAAATTATCTTTGTAAAAAGAAAACATATAATTTTTTTTTGAAAAAAAAATATATAAATTTTTTTCTCACAAAATATCTCATCATACATTATTTTAATACCAAATTCAAATAAAAAAATTTCAAAACTTATCGAAAGAAACAAACCCACACATTCAAACAAATATTGTGTTTTTTTTTTTTTTTTTTTTTTCCATTTGGATTAGGTTTGAAAGTTTGAGTTTTTTATTAAACTAATATTTTATGTAATGTTTTATTAGAAAAAAAATCCTAATGTTAGTAGAATTTAGATACTCATTTATTGTTTTGTATATTAAATTTGGAATATTAATTATTATATCAAAGTAGCCCAAATCAAGTGAAAATAACAAAAATATTTTTATTAGTATTTTATAATACTAATATAATCATATTTTTACAAAAAATTATACAAATATAAATATATTTTTAATGTTAAGTACTATGACGCAAAAGATAAATATAACTCTTAGAGGCGAACAAAATGAGTAGTAAAAATTAATGTATAAAAAAAAGTTTTTGTAATGTATGATCTTATGGTGTAAAATAAATTCGTAACCGCAAAGTCATAAGCAAGCCATACGGTTAATAGGAACATAGAACAGGAGCTTCTCGCACCATTGACATGCCTTTACGTGTCAACCCGTTGACACTTCCTGCATACCCTTCTTGCACATTTTGTCCGATATCTTCCACTGAACCTAGGTTGAGACTATTAATCTGTCTACCAGCCAAGAACCTAGGATGAAATTGTCAACCCGTAATAAAATACTAACTATGTCATAAGATAATCTCATAAATTTAATAAAGTTGATGGTACTTTTGTATGAAAAATTTGTTTTAACATTAATTAATTTACTTTAATATTGATATAATAAATATAAATTGAAAAATATTTGTAAGATGTTATATGATTCACATTTACTAAAACATATATATTGTGTACAAATGAAAATGAAAAAATATGTCGGGGGATTTAGATTTTAAATTGGGATTTGAATAATAAAGATTTTGAATTTGAATAGTTGTATAATGTGATATAAATAGGTATTGATGTAATATTTTGAATGTAAAATTGATTTTTAGTATAATACTATGAAAAAATGAAAAATAGATTTTTGATTTGATATTTTTAGGGAAAAAAAGTGGAATAAATAGTGTATTTAAAATCCAATCTCCCAACAAACACACCCTAAGTGAAAATAAGTATTTGAATAATAGTGTTAATTTTATTTATTTATTTTTTTAAAAAAATGTACGTAAACAAAATCTATTTTTTGTTTAGTGAAATTATTTGAAGGAATATTTTTTTATGTGAAGTATAGGAAAATATGTAAGTAATATAAAAATAATAAGTGTATATAATATATTAGATTTATTCGAAAAATATGTTTTTTTAGAATTGTAAAAAAACACATTTTTTTGCAAAAATTGGATTTCTATTTCATCTCAAACACAATAATAGAAAAAAGAAGAAGATAATAACAATAATAACGAGCCGGCCCAGTCAAGCCCAAAAATATAAGTAACTTGAACTGGGCTTGGCCCGCTACTATAGCATATTGGAACAGGCCCAAATGGGCCTATATTAAAGCTTGGACCCAAATAAGTTTAAATTTATTCTATCAGTCTTGAAGTAGGTTGAACAAGTCCACTTAACTGCTACTACTACTGCATATTTTTTTCTCCAAAATCATTATATTAAATGCGTAATTTTTATTTAATATATTAAATAAAAATTTTATTTATTATTCGTATCATCTCAAATAAATTTTAATTCAAGATTTTTATTATTTTAAAAATATACTAAAACAAACCCACTTTTGTTTAGTTATTCTTATGTATTGATTGTAACAAAATTCTTCTAGGCGTGAAGCCAACGTTTTTTTTTTTTTTTTTTTTGTTGAAATTTTCTTGTGTGTTTAGTTAAGAATTTAAAATTTAGATTTGAATAACAAAATTTTTGGATTGAAAAGTTGTATTAAATTAGATGTTAATATGATATTTTAAATGCTTGTCGTTCTTCTGAAAATGTGTCCACTTTTTTATCTTTTTGTATCTTAAAAATATTTGCATTTCTTTATTTAATAAAAAATTATATCACTTTTTATATTTTTCTTACCAAAAAGATTGAAAAGTATTAATTAAAATCTCTGTTGGTTTTTATATATTACACACATTCACTCATTTGCCGCTATTCATTTTTTATAAAAATATTATATCAAACACTTTTTTTTTTTCATAAAATTTCAAAGCAAATATTTCCCCCGTCATTTAAATCTATGCTTACTTTTTTTTTTGGGTTGTCATCGAAAAATATTCTCATTTCTTTTTTAAGTAAAAAATCATTTCATTTTTGTACGAATTTTTACTATAAAAAAAATTAATAATTATTACACACTTTTATTAAAACTCGTACCCAATCAAATAAGCACACATTTACACGACGGAGGGAGTACTATTTTTTTTTTCAAATTTCAAAATTTTTTAAAACCTCCAAAAATTCTTATCTAAACAAAACCAAAACTCTTAAAAAAATTTGAGTATATTTTTACAAGACAAGAGCAAATATAATATATATATATATATATAGGTAAACTGTTTTTTTAGTTATGTTAACTGACCTTTATCATTTTAGTCCTGTAAGTGTAGCATGTCGCAAACTAGTCCCATAAGTGAAAAATTTTCGCTGTTTTAGTCCTCCGGCGCCGGAGACACCCGCGTGGCTCGCCGGAGGTGACGTGTCCGCCAGGTGTCCCGCCAGGTCAGCGACACTTGGCGGACACGTGGATTTAATTTTTTTTTTCATTTTTTTAATTTTTTTAATTGGACCAAATGAAAAAAATAAAAAAATACAAATAAAATTTAAAATAAATAAGAAATAAGTTTTAAAAAAAATTAAAAAATGAAAAAAAAATCTACGTGTCTGCCAGGTCAGCGACACCTGGCGGACACGTCACCTCCGGCGAGCCACGCAGGCATCTCCGGCGCCGGAGGACTAAAACAGCGAAAAATTTTCACTTATGGGACTAGTTTGCGACAAGCTCCACTTACGGGACTAAAATGATAAGGGATCCAGTTACGAGACTAAAAAAACAGTTTACTCGTGTATATATATATATATATTTAATATATAGTAATAGTCATATAATGTGTTTGTTTGGGGGTTCTCCCCCAAATATTCTATTTAACCTATTTTTTTCCCCTAAAAATATCAAATCAAACACATATTTTTTATTTTTTATATTATACTAAAAATCAATTTTACATTCAAAACATCACATCGACACCTATTTATATCACATCATACAACTATTCAAATTAAAAAATTTTACTATTCAAATCTCAACTCAAAATCCAAATTCCCAATCAAACAATCCTAAATCTTTTATAACTAAATGGACACGAAGCCAAATCCGACAAGCCAAAGTCGGAGGCTAATGGAGACTTATATTAAAATATAAGTTGTGATTTATTTGTAAATATTGTTTGGTTGTAATTTAAAGTAAATTATTGATTTAAATTTTTGTATAATAAAATAATATATACTTATTGATGTATCAGGTACGTTGTGTATAAAAAAAATTGTATTCAAGCATGTTATAAAAAATTTGTATTAACTAAATACTATTGATTTTGATTTAAAATGATAAAAAAAAAAAAACAAACATACGATTTCATATTCATTAAAATTTTTATTTAAAAACATAAAATTAAATATTTATTTTTTATTCAATATATTATATTTAAAAATATCACGTTAACATCTTATATAACAGCATTTAAATTCAATTTTTTTATTATTCCTAACTTCAAATCCAACTCTCAAAGGTACGACAACATACAACCTTTGATCACGAATAGAATGAAGAAGAAAACTCCGGCTAATTATTGAATTTGACGACATTGTCTCGACTCTTAAGTGTTACCATTTCGCAAACACGCCCTTATCTTCCCCTCTCGTCCGGCGTTCGCTCCATTTTCAACAGAACATTGAATCGCCGGATTTTATGACATCCGCGACATTAATTTCCTGACGTAAAATTTTTCGGTTTTGGTGATGTCATGGTGTACCCAAAACTCCATAGACTCCATGAATGTGCTTTGATCATCTCACCATTATTGTTCTCATCACTCGAATTCAATTCTTACACCAAACTTCGTTAAAATTATTTAAGAATCATGATGTAGTTCCATCGGTTTCCCCGGCTGACGACATACAAAAAAATCCCGATCTTTTTTAGCAAACTTGGCATCGTCATAACTATTGAAGACTATATAGTATATAATTAATAATACTAATAAATTTCAACAAATTTAAGTTATTAGTTGAGATGCTCCTTTAATATTTCCTCCATCATAAAAAAAAAAAAAAAAAAAAAATAGTACTAAGGGTTATATTTACCAGCATTATTGTATTTAAGATTAAAAATATTTTTATATTTGTATAATTTTTTTTTATACGAACATCCTTTTAGTTTTGCCATTTTTTTTTATTTATACTATATTTTGATATAATAATTAAGATTCAAACATCAACAGTGAAAAAATAAATATATAAATAAAACATAAATATATTTTTATAATGACAAAAAAAAATTTGAAAAAAAAAATTGAATGACTGATAGAATATTAATGATATAAAAGAAGGATCATTTCAAAAGAGATCAATACATTTTGGGCTTTTACATTGATTTATTTATGATCATCAATCATCATCTTCCTAAATTGTTCATAAATCTCAATCCAAATCAACAACAATTGATATATATATATATATATATATATGTAGTTATTAAACTTGTTATAACAACATCGGCGATGATGACGACGACGACGACGATCTTCGATCATCTTCCTCGACTCGTCACAGTTTCTGGATATGGTAGTTGAGGGTGTGCTGCTTCCACAGATCGTCGCCGTCGCCGTCGATATAAGTTTCGAAGAAACTGGCTTCTCCATTGGCCCTCACAGTCACTGCAGCAGTGCTTCTAGTTCCATATTTCCCCTGCAAATTAGTCGAAAAAATCACTCGAAAACCGTTCGACCGGAAAGTTCGATCACGAAAAAGTCGAGAACTTTTTCCATACCAATGGCGTGTCGACTTCGACGAAAATCGAGCTCAAATTGTGCTCCCAATCGCGGGAGCATATTTTCGGTAGCTTATTATCGTCGGCCTTCTCCGTATCCCTCATCAATTTCTCGACCATTTCTTTCGTCGGAATTTCCCCCTCGGCGTATTTCCCCACCTCTGTTCTAAATCTCTCCTCCAGCTTTTCAGCCTGACAGAGAAATGTATAATTCAATTGAAAGGAGGATATATATATATATATATATAATTCTGATTTAAAATTAAATCAGTAAAAACCTTAGGCCAAGGCGAGTTGAGTGTAGCGTTCGAGAGGACGTGGATTCCCGGGAGGACATGTTGGATCGTGACGGGGTCGCCTTTAGGCCGGTTCGAGACGAACACCATCGATTTCGAGACGAGATCCGCGACGATGAGATTGAACCCGTTGTATTGGCTCGACTCCTTCGCGAGCTCCTCCGCAAACGCCGCCGGGCTCTTCTTACTCTACGTCGACAAAAAAAAACACAATAATTTGTACATTACAAACACGGCCGTGTAATAATCAGTACGTAATTATTGTACCTCTAAAAACCGTATGGCGAGGTCGCCTCGACTCTTGGCCTCGGGGAGAGTATGAAGCTCGAGTACGTTGGTGAGGAACGCGACGCGGCCTTGCTTCGAGCACGCCAGCCACGTGCCGCCGGCGACTTCGTCTTTCCCGGCGAGGATCTCGCCGCCGGCCCACCACCCCACCGCCTTGGTCGGCCTGAGCACAACGCAACACGGCCGTGTTGGTGCTGAGTTAAGAAGATAATTGAATTGAGTTTGTAGAAGTTTTTTTTACCTATTGTGATACTCATCTCTGTTCAGCAACAGAAGGAAAGGGTAGAGAGGATGGGATTGCCACATGAACACAGCAATGCACATTTTTTCTTACACAAAAATAAATAATTTAAAATTTAAATTAATTGGAATATGTATAAACAGTTTTTTTCTTTCTTTTTTTTTTTTGCGTAGTGTGAGAAATTTGATTCCAAGCCTGTGTCCGAACGCTTATATATACATACATATACGTACAGATAATATATATATATATATATGAGTGTGTGTCCAAACCTAATTTTTAGCTCGTCATCACTCTTAACTGTGAGCTGCTGAAACAGACATCCTATGAACGTTCACATTGATTTTAGGCTTTGTTTAATTTTTAGTCTTATCCGAATTCCGATTGTTCGAAAAGTAACTATTTTGTCATTTTTAGTCGTTAATTATAATACTCCATGCGCACTATATAAAATAAAAGTAAAAAGACTAAATTAACCCTATTAGTATTGTATGATATAAAAATAATATCATTAGTGTAATATATTGTAAATTGGAAAGGTATTTGTAATGTTAGGTAAATGGTACAATTACTAAAAAAAATAAAATGAAATAAATACTTTGTTATCGGACAGACCATAATGAAAATATGGATAGATTACTAAGGGAAAGATGAAGTACTTTCTACGTATATCAATTTTATTTTTTATTTTTTTTGTCCATTAAATTTACCACATCTTTTATTTTTGTCAAAATCAAATATTCAATATTTAACTATTACTCTCAATTCAAGTCAATGCTTATTTATCATAATTGTCCATACTTTACATTCTCTTCTTATTTTATTTAATTACTAACTAAATTTTTAAAAATATCCTTTAACTATTTCTTTAATAAAATATTTATTTTTCTTTTAATCTCCGTATTAACTTCAAATATGCTAATTTTTATGAATATATATATATATTTGAGTATGAATTTACTATATACATAATAAATATATTTGGTTAAGATATAATGGTAAAATATTACTTGTACACGTAGATTAAGAAAAATAAATATTTTATAAATAAATGATGAAAGTAAAAAAAAAAAATAGTTAAAAATATGTCTGAAAATTTAACTAGAAATTAAAAATATAAAAAAAACAAAAAAAAGAATATAATAAATGCAATTATATTTATTGTAAATAAATATTTAGTTAATACTAATATTTAAATATTAAATTTATTGATTTTGCTATAATTAATAATAAAATAAATTTAATGTATGAACGAAAAAGATAAATGAAAATAAATTTGAAAAACACGAAAAATATTTACATATATTTTTTAATTTATAATTATTGTCTTATATTCTTATAGTATCAAACTGAAATACAAAAGAAAAATAATTTTTATATACCATAAATTATTTATAAAATACAATAATTATTAAATTGGGCAATATAAGGACACGTATCTCATGAGTGGATAGAGATAGCATAAATTCATCGAATACTTCACATCCATATTGTTCGTATGTATTCATTAATTAATTTATATTTATATTTTATTATATTTTTTGGTAGTATCAAAACAATTGTGTGTTTAGAATTAAAACAACATACAAAATATTATTCTATATAATATTTTTATAAATTTATACTTAAAAATATCTAAAAAGAACGCAGCTTTTATATATATATATATATATATATATATTCATTTAATCTTTCAGTATGATTTTATATATATTTTTGTGCTTTCTTTCATTTTTTTTTTTTGAATTTTAATTTTTTTTGTTAAAATTATAAAAATTAAATAATGAAAAATAAATTACATGAAAAATAGTTTTAGTATTGTGGTCATATAATAAATGAATGACAAATTTGAATTATTTGCTTATTTTTTAATTGTAGTTTAAATAATATTTTAATAAGATATTTTATATAAAAATACTATAGTACATTTTTATAGAAATTCGAACGGGATAGTATTGATATTAATTTTAGGTTAAATTGCACAAAATTTGTCGGTGGTTTCATAAAATTGCGCTAAATTTCCTATACTTCTAAAACTGTGTCAAATTCCCTCGTGGTTTCATAAACTCTGCGTCTAACCCCCTCGACGCTCCTTATTTAACGGTATTTGACTTAAATGTGCTCAAAATGCGAATAAATTTTAGAATATCAATTTCTAAACTCCTAAAATTACACATATATTTATTTTTCTTATATTTAGCCTCAAAAAATAGTAAATATACTCAAAATTAACTATTTTTCTCAGGTTTCAATAGTTTATTTTTACTGTTTTTTAAGCTAAATATAAGAAAAATAAATATATTTGTAATTTTAAAGGTTTAGAAATTGAAAATTTTAAATTTATTCGCAGTTTGGGCGTATTTATGTCAACTACCGTTAAATAAGAAGCATCGAAAGGATTAGACGCATAGTTTATGAAATCATGAAAAAATTTGACGCAATTTTTTAAGTATATGAAATTTGGCGCAATTTCGTGAAACCACAGGTAGATTTTAACCTTAATTTTAAACTAAAACTAACCAAACCTACAATCTCCTATCATTTTTTTTTTCCTTTTAATAAAATTATGTTCTAACTATTATTTAAAGATAAAGCACAAAATACATATACAAAAACCATATAAATTCTTTATTAATATGAATCTTAAATTATATAATAAAATTTATAAATATATTAATATATATTTATTGTTTGGTTTTGTTTCTTGGTGGGAGTTACTGATGAGACAACCCAAATTTATTCATCACGCTATTTATATACACATTTAATTTATGCTTATTATTTTTATAAAAATATATATAATATTACATAAAACCTTTTTGTAATATTAATATAAGCAGTACCTAAAAATTTTCTATTTGTGTACAAATTTTAGATAAAATAAAATTATAGTGTTAAAAGAAAGGATGGAGTTTGTTAAAATAATACTTTTTCGTCAATTTAGAAAATATACATTTATTTTTTGTACAGAATTTGATAAATATTGTATTTTAATAATAATTTTGGTATGTAAAAACTATTTTACCTAAAAGTTAATGTGAGTATATTAATGTAAATAAATATAAATACTCCCTCCGTCACATAAGAAGGATATCATTTTTCATTTTGGTCCGTCCCAAAAAAGGATATCATTTTCTAATTTAGTAATTTACTATATACCTAACAAAATTAATACCTTTACAACTTTCAATATATTATACAAATGCCATTATTTTTTTATCATACAATCTAATAGGACATTTTTGTCTTTTTTTACTATAAACCAATATAATACTAATATTAAAAAATGTACGTGCAAAAAGCAAATATTACTCTTTTTGCGGGACGGACGAGGGTAGTGTAATAGTATTTGTAACGTGTAATGAAATTCATACGTACTAAAAAAAAAAAATTGATACATGGCATTTAGACAACCAAACATGATAGAATATATATTTAGTAAATGAACGAAGAGATTTAATTTCACGTAAATTTCGAGTAATAAAAAAAGTTGAATTAAAGAGTAGAGAAAGGTGTGTGTTATTATTATTTTTATTTTTTATTCTTAGATGAAAATAAATATTTTACACAATATTTTGTATGAAAAATTATGTTTAGTGTAATACTGTTTTAATCTTTTTTATTATTTATGTTTAAGTTTGAATTTTTTTTATTTAAATTTTAATTTAAACATTATTTTATAAGAAAAGTAATATTCTTTTCATTCGTTTTGAAGTTGTCATTATTTTTCTTCCTAAGTTAAATTTATGTCTATCCTACTTATAATAAAAAAATTTATTCACTTATAATTTTATTTTTTTATTTTTAATAAATTATAATAAATTTGTCACTATGTTTTTAGTTATCTATTACCTTCTTGTTATCTAATTTTTTTAGTTATCTATTAAAAATATTATAAATTTCTGTCTTTGTGTTTAATTAAAATTACATATTTGTTTTAAATGAATGAAATATTATATATTTTTATTAAAAATTGTACATGTTCAAAGTAAAAATGAGTGTGTTTGATTGTTAATTTTATATTTGAATTTTGGATAGTAAAATTTTAAATTAAAATATTATTTGATGAGATATTTTAAGTATAAAATTAAAATTTAGTATAACATAATAAATAAAATTAGATGTTTTATTTGAATTTTTTTTTTTTTTGAAATAGTAAAAAGCTTATAAAAACCCAACAAACATGGCCATAAGGTTCCATGTTGTCTTTGAATTTTTACTTATTTATTTATTTTATCAATTTTCTTACTATACAACGTTATCATTTTAGATAAAAAGTTAAAAAATGTATAACATATAAATATCACATTAATAATCATTTCACCAAAATAATAATAATAATAAAAACCTAAATACAAAAATATTAACACGTTAATACAAAAAAAAAAAAACCGCACCCTAATGTGTGTATTTATTCCAAACATAGTAGTTTAAGAAAAAATAATAATTCATTATTATTAGATAAAATTACTTATAACTCTCCTATGGTTTCCAAATTCAGCGTAAAATCTCTTTGTACTTTAAAAATTGCATAGTACCCCCTTATACTTTAAAAAACGTTGCATAAAACTCCACCACCATGAAACTTTCCTCGTGTGATAAGAAGATGATTTTCTATCTATATGTTTTGCATGGCAGAGAGTGTTTTATGCAATATTTTTGAAAGTATAAGTAAGCGTCATGCAATTTTTTAAAGTAAAATGAGAATTTATGCTGAGTTTCGAAACCACAAAGTGGTTTCATACAACATTTTTTAAAGTATAAGGGGACATCATGCAATTTTTAAAGTAGAGGAGAAATTTACGCTGAGTTTCGAAACCACAGGGGAGTTATGGACAATTTTGCCTTATTATTATTATTATTATTATTATCCCTTATTTATCTAGAGTCTACTAATTGCAATTTCTTAGATTCCAAAAATTAGCTAATGCAAGGCTATCGTTGTTAGGACATAGGGATGGACCCTTTCCCAATTGCACCAATATACCACATGCTACTTACTATCTACTCTCAATTGCATTTACAATATTATTAATTTACCAATTTAATTTATGCGGTTGTTACTGTACGGTAAAATTCAACACAGTACAATACATTGTATTTACAATATTATTATTTATCAATTTAATGCATTCCAATATTTACGATACATTGTATACGGTCAGACAAAACACAACATATT